CCCGGAACTCACATGGCAGGTCATTAGGTCATGACCTAACATGCTCCACTGGGATATAAATGGCAGAAAAAGAAGTATCTTTAAACTACAACCAAAACAAACAGTGAGCTGTCTTCACATTAAAATTTTGTTATGATGTACCTGTTGCTATCTTTGGGAATATTATGGGTGGGGAGGGGGTGATGCATTTTTTTTCTGCAGTGCTGTTGTAAATGTCCCCATGTGAGTTGGGAGCTGCATTTGGGAAGGGGGAATAACATCTGCTGTCCCATAACAAGAATGTCATAAAAGTTGATTAATTAGGTGCATTTCCTTCAAAGTCAGAATGCATCTGTCTAAGAGGAAAGGAACCAACAGTCTGCATACAAATAAACCATATCTGTTGAATGGATGTGTACACAAACTCATGTTTTGGAACAAGACCAAAGTCCAGAAACGGATGAACAACCAGAACTTTCCGCCAGAGTTTATAACCCATGAACGCTCAAAAAAAGAATACGACTTGTAAAGGAATACTTTTGTTGTTGTTTTTGTCTTTAATCTCCCAGTGATGATAAACAAATACAGTTGCTTCTTCCTCCTCAGTTTAGCACTGCAATGTTATTCCCATTCATTCAAAATGCGAAATATATGCATAAATGTTTGTGCATAACTATTTAATACAAAAATGTTGTTTCGTGCATGATTCCAGGCTAAAGCATGTGGTGCGAGGATACTGGCGCGTGGTCAAGCAGTTGTCTCCTCATGCCATGGTCAGAGAAATTGATCTGTTGGTGAATGTTACCACAGAACTAGGAAAAGGTCAGTTTAATGTCCTCCTTCTGTGCAGCGGTTAGGCCGTGATATTCAGAAAATGGCAAATACCCGGTTTACTTTGGGCAGGCTAAATAGCATATGCAATATTAATGCGAGTGTATAGCCAGTTTATCGTAGCTGACTACTTCAATCAATAACAAAATAAAATTCTGGTGGGGGCTGTGGGTTTTGATACCTAGCAAGCTGTCTTTTGCATTTACTGTGTGTGTATATTTCTAGATTTTTCCAGCACTGATTGTTCACCAGTTTTCACAGGCACAGGAACAGATTAGTTAGTGACCTATTTATAGGGAAGTTAAAACCTCCACTACGACTACTGCTACTCGCCTACTGTTATCATTTCAGTCAGATTCTTTTTTCTTTTCTTTATTCAGTGAACTTTACTAAGAGTTGTCCATGTATGGTTTCCGTGGCACCATTTTGGGGCAAAATGAATAGACTCACTGCCCCCTTAACAAGCATGTCTTAAAAGTAGAATAATTAGGGCTTTCCTTCAAAGTCAGAGTGCATCTGCCTGACACAAAACAGTTTGCTTACAAATAAGCTAGATCTTATAAACAGCTGTCCATGAAAAACTCATGGATCTGGAATAAGGCCAAAGTCCAGAAGTGGATGAACAACCAGAAATTACCTTCAGAGTTTACAGCTGGTGAACTTAAGAAGAAGAAGAAGAAGATACAACAAAACTAAACTTACAGATGAAGACTGATGCTGTTTGCCCCATGTCCATGTGCTGATCAGTGTCTTTATGATTGCTGGCAACTCTCTCTCTGTCCCTGCAGGAAGAGCCTGGCTGTATGCTTCTCTCAATGAAGGACTGCTGGAGAGCTATATTAGGCTGCTCTGTGACAATGATAAGTTGCTGAAAAAATACTATGCGAAGGAGGCTTTGGTGCTTGACAGCGATGTGAGTGACAAGATAGTGGTTCTTGTGGTGTGTGTTTTTATTTTAGCTCATAATGTCATTATATAGTGGATTGCTTTGGGCTAGCATTTTATCATATCATCATTATAAGTTGTGTAGCACTGCTTTGTCAAGCTTTGTGGCTCAGTTTTGGGGGTGGGCTGGAGGGGGGAGGGGGGGGTTGATTTCCCTAGCCTTTTGCTGTCTAGTCTATCTTCGAGGCAGTGGGGACTGTGTCTCTCTTTATCTGGTTCCTCTTCCTTGACCTGTCTGATAAGGGAGACCCTACAAGTAGCTATGCAACCTTTGGCATTGGAACACACGGACCCTCTACATCTATTAGCGATAAACTCACAAGATGGGGACTTGCATTTAACTCCGAATCTTCTTTAACTTTTTATACCTTTTATCTTTCAGGAGTGAATAGGCCCTCAACCAGCCCATTTAATGCCCTCTTCAATAGATTCATCGTGATCGGCAGGATTTTTCAGCGAGCTAAAAAAAAAATTTTTATGCACTAACCGTCCAAATTAACACTGACACCAGCTCTCCTTAGTAACCTTTTAAGACATGTATGGTATGAGGTACCAGTGTGTTTTTCCTTTTTATTTTTTGTTTCTTATTGTCCCTATAAGACATGGGTGAACTCTTAAATCATTTCCTAAGAAAGCTCAGTCTGGAAATGTATGTAAGGAGTGACTGACGCACTAAAGCCAGAGGCCAACCAGTGTATGAAGTTCTTCTTTTTTCTTTTTCATCATTCATTCAAGTGACATAAATACAGTGTCCCTCTTTAAAGCACAGCTGCAATATTTTTGCCTTTCAGCTGATACCACCAACTTTTTTCAAGCATTTCTCATCTAGATTAGCTTTTCCGGTTAGTTTCATGGGACATTTGTAGGCTCATATCTGTGGTGACTGGAATGGAGGTGGAGGCAGTCTCTGCTGCCTTCTACTGGTTTGTGAGTCATGCTGTCATTGTAACTGACTCACAGAGCATTTTGAGAAAGGTGGCAATAGGCGTGCTCTGTGCAGAGTGGCAAGCATCACTTCAAAGGTCCCGGGTATTTAGCATCCTTTGAATATTTTCGCCGGGTATGCTGGTGTGTTGGGAAATGAGCAGGCAGATAGACTGGCAGGTTCTGCATCACTTGGTGATGAGTTGATGTAGGACAAGCTAGATATTGTGAGGACCCTTTGGGAGCAAGTGAAAAGTGCAGAGCCACAGATAGATCATTTTGGTCTGAGGAGAATGGTGCTGCAAGGAGTTACCAGAGGATCTGGCCGACGTTTAACATGGGAAGGGTGAGACGGATAAACAGTCAGACAGTTACTGGAGCAATAGGAATTGGAACTCTTTGCTTGCTGCTGAAGATGGGGACGAAGGGCTTTTTGGAGTGTCCCACATGCTATGATGTTGATTCTCAATTCAGCATTCAACATTCATGTGGGGTGACCTTGTTATCCCCTGATCCACAGGTTTTTCCCTAAAGAGTCTCATGCTGTTTTGTTTGACCCCCAAGGAAAGGCAGGGGCAGAGCATGGGCATTCTGCAGGAAGTAGTCTGCAGATCTCAGACTCTGGTTCTCTGCACAGAGGGGCATCTCACTTTCTCAGTATGTTTTCTGTTGGACATTGGCACCTTTTACACAGATACCCCGGACACATTTTTGCAGCATTTATGGGAAGCATGCATTAGGCATGGCTTCTCTGTGTGGTCCTTATTCTCCGACAAGTATGGCTATTAGTAGCGATGTTTGAACCTTTGTGTCATAATGTAGGATATCTGTGCTAGGGACATTTGAAACTTTGCTATGAAACATCAGGACACTCAGTAGACTAAGCAGCTATGCAGAAAAACATGGATGGACATTTAAACCTAAGCAGCCATACAGTAGGAGTCTCGGTTGACAGATGTTTGAACCATGGTTTGTCATATAGTGGGACTATCAGACAACAGACATTTGAACCTCAGCAGCCTTAAGTAGGAGTCTCGGTTGACAGAAGTTTGAACCAAGGTTTGTCCTACTATAAGACAATCAGACAACAGACATTTAAACCTAAGCAACCATACATTTAGGAGTCTCAGTCGACAGACGTTCAAACCAAGGTTTGTCATACAGTAGGACATCGAACAATAGGCATCTGAACCTAAGCTGCCATATAGTAGGAGTCTTGGCCAACAGATGTTTGAACCATGGTTTGTAATACAGTAGAACTAACAGACAATAGAATTTCCGAAAACCTGAGTTTGTCATTTAGAAGGATATTCAACCAGTGGCTTTCACTCATTTTCTTAATGAGATTTCCATGTACATTATCACTCATGCACATTGGGTGGGCTGACAAGTGCCAGAGGATTTCTGGGCACTGCATCTCTTGGAGTCGCCAACTCCAAGATCCCCTACCAGCTCATTTTATCCTTTATAAACCATTATCCCTAGTGCACAGTGAGGACGTGAGGCAAGAGCCTTGCATGAGAAACCTATAAAACCAACACAGAACCTGCCTGGACCCTGAGTTGGGGTACAGAGTATATCCTTATAAACATCCCAAGGACATTATAAACATCACAACGGCCTTAACTTTCCTTTATGCCTATGACCAAAATCCCCTTGTTACGCATGTGGAAATAAAAAGACTTCTATGAGAGCTCTGAGATTGGGCAAGAAACTTGTGATAGTCTGTAAGCTGAGGGCCTGTGCTTTTTACAGTCTGTAAACTGATCAGCTGTTGGCTGGCACCATATAGCTGGTACACCTTATTGGATGTACAATACTGAAGTTATAGACATTATAGGTATTTGAAAGGAAAAGAAAACAAACTCCAGTGAATCATGAGGGGAGGAAAAGACTTGGATGTTGGATAGGACACAGTAACCTGAGAGCAGTATAAAAAGAATGTCTTTATTCCGGAACCTCCAGGGTTATAGAAAAAAAGACTTTTTAAAAAACTCATAAAGAAGAGAACTAAAGAGTTGAATGTCGAATTGAGATTCAACATCATAGCGCTCAGGACACTCCCATAAGCACTCCGTCCCCATCCTCAGCAGCGAAGAGTTCCAATTCTGATGGTACCAGCAACTGTCTGATTGTACATCTGTCTAGGAACTAAAGAGTGAAGCTAAAAAGATAGGGAAGACATTGTGTGAGTTTACTGAGGGCCTATGCTGCATTGGGGATAAAGGGCATAAAAAAAGAAGAAGAGAAAGATAAGATGTGTGAAACACTTGTTGATAAGTACGTTTTCAATGTTTCAAAAATAGTTATGTCTTCTACAGAGGATGAGTGTTCTGCTGACCCTTACATCTGGTCTGGACTGTGTCACCTTTAAGCTAGAATATGTAAGTATTCATTCCTAGTGGTTACAGAGAAGGTTACAATCAAAACCAGAGGGTCACCAGCAGAAAATTCAAATGAAATACTTTTTCGCCTTCGTCAGCTGTAAACTCCGGCAGGAGTTTCCATTTCCGGACAAGACTTTCATCTTGTTCCAGAACTTGAAAAATGCTTGTTAAGGAGGCAGTTGATCTGTTTCTTCCCCCCAACACAAAGAAACCATACGGATGGGGGAAAATCAAATACTGAAGAAGACCATCACAACTCATTGCCTGAATTACTGTCACTGAGTTTCCTCACTTAAATCAAGTCCAAGGAAGGCTTTTGATTTGTCTTCCTCTTGTTGGTGCTTACTGGCTATTAACTCTGCCAAACTGACCGGTTGTGTGTCCACTTTTGGATTTGGTCTTGTTCCAGGACTTGAGTGTTGCAAACACATCTGTTTTACAGATCTGGCTTATTGTGTGCAGATTGATGGTTCCTCACCTCTGAGACAGATGTGCTGCAGCTCCAGAGGACATTTTGATCCTTTCTACTTTTGCTAGGATCCCTGTTAGGAGTCTTCTGTTTCTTCTTCTTCTTTTTCATCTTCTTTTCTCTACTCCTAGAATGCCTCACGCGTCAGGGCAAGCTGAGATCTCTGGAAAGGGCCTTTCTGTTCGCTTTGTATAAAGTACTTTTTATTGTCTCAGATATTCCTGCCATCCATCTTCTGCGTGTTCGGCCTCTGGCTCTGTTACCATTGCATCTGTATAACATTGCTTTCTGTGGTGTCCAGTCTGATGGCAATTGTGTTACTTGGCCAAACCATTTGATTTGTTGTTTATAAAGTTCAGTATTGGTTCTATGTTGACTCTCCTCCTGATATCATCGCTCCTAAGTCGATCTATCCTTATTACACCTAGCATTGTACGCAAACATTTCATATTGCCGTGACTGTTTTCCTTCTGTCTTCTGAAGATAGTGTCCATGCTTGACATTGAAAGCAGAGCATTGGTAAGAATATTGTGTTGAACAGTGTTCTTTTAGTGTTTTAGTTGGGAGTCTGATTCTAGGATAACATTGAACACATGTAGGTCCATACCAGTAAGAGCCCTGGTCCTAGTCCACCACCGCCTGTTGCTCTGCGTCCCTGGCTTTTGTTTAAATGGTTTCACTTTTAGTTGTCCATGAATTTAGACCATCCATGACGTTACAGTCAGTGAAAGAGGTAAGTGATAGACAGTTGTCGCTGATAGCTTCCTTCCATCTTTCCAGAAATGAATACAATGAGATAAAGTTAAATTTGAGTCAGGTTTGAGGACCAGTCAGACCTTTGGTCTGAGCTTGACTTCAATGATATGTCATAGATTTTAGTTTCAAGGACCAGTCAGACCTTTGGTCTGAGCTTGACTACAGTGATATGTCATAGATTTTAGTTTCAAGGACCAGTCAGACCTTTTGTCTGAGCTTGACTACAGCGAGGTGTCATACAGTTTAGATAGGTCCAAGGATGAGTTAGTTTTAATTAAATGGCATCACTTTTAGTCTAATCCAAGCAGGACTGTATTGAGATGGCCTCAAGTTTAGACAGGCCCAAGAATGAGTTTGAGTTAAATGGCATAATTTTTAGTCAAGTCCAAGCTGGACTATATTGAGATGGCCTCACTTTTAGTCAAGTCCAAGCTGGACTATATTGAGATGGCCTCACTTTTAGTCAAGTCCAAGCTGGACTATATTGAGATGGCCTCACTTTTAGTCAAGTCCAGGCAGGACTATATTGAGATGGCCTCACTTTTAGTCAAGTCCAAGCAGGACTATATTGAGATGGCCTCACTTTTAGTCAAGTCCATGCGGGACTATATTGAGATGGCCTCACTTTTTTTTTAGTCAAGTCCATGCAGGACTATATTGAGATGGCCTCACTTTTAGTCAAGTCCAAGCTGGACTATATTGAGATGGCCTCACTTTTAGTCAAGTCCAAGCTGGACTATATTGAGATGGCCTCACTTTTAGTCAAGTCCAGGCAGGACTATATTGAGATGGCCTCACTTTTAGTCAAGTCCAAGCAGGACTATATTGAGATGGCCTCACTTTTAGTCAAGTCCATGCGGGACTATATTGAGATGGCCTCACTTTTTTTTTAGTCAAGTCCATGCAGGACTATATTGAGATGGCCTCACTTTTTTTTAGTCAAGTCCATGCAGGACTATATTGAAATGGCCTCACTTTTAGTCAAGTCCAAGCAGGACTATATTGAGATGGCCTCACTTTTAGTCAAATCCAAGCAGGACTATATTTAGGTGTAGTAGATTTTTTACAGGTCCAGTGATGACTTTTAATTAAATGGCTGCACTTTAAGTCAACTCCAAACAAGACTTTCATTGAGATAACTTTATTACAAAAGAGCCAGAAAGGTAATTACAGAATTGACTTAATTCATACTTTCATAACAAATATATTTTCTAATGTTTCAGGACTTGCCATATCTAGACTTGAATGCCTACCCCCCTCGGAGTCGCAGTAATTCAGAGCAGGATGGCGATGTCAGTTCTGACTCTTCAGATTCTTATTTAGGCCATCCTTGTCGTTACAGGTCAATGTCAGAGGTCAGTGAGAAGCGAAAGTGGTGGTCATCAGCATATTTCCGTCTTTCCAGTGTTGTGTAGTACTATATGGAGGCAGGAGAATCGCAGTTGTGATTTAAAACAGTCTTGCTTGCTTGGAGAGAAGAAGATTTGGATCTCGCTCATCCAGCTTTTAACCCTTCCGCCATGCCTGTGCGGGTTCTGGGGCCCCACAATGGGGAAAACAAGAACACAACCGCTGCCTCCGCAACAAGCATGTCATAAGGTCAACTAACTGGGGGGTTCCTTTACAATCGAAGTGCATCTGCCTGAGAGGTAAAGTACCAACAATCTGCATACAAGTAAGTCAGATCTGTGAAACAGATGTGCACACAACGCTCAGGTACTGGAAGAAGATTCAAGTTCAGAAGTGGACGAACAATCAGAATTTTCTGCCAAGAGTTAACAGCGGTGAACACAAAGAAGAAGAATAATCTTCTGTCCCGAGAAGCCACAAAACCCAAACTTCTGGTTGGTACCGTTTCCCTGTACCAGCTGCTTTCCTGACTTACTTGCTCTAGAGGCAATGTGTTTACGAGACGTCTCGCTAACGGAATTCATGGCATCTGCCTGTGAGCAAATGTTCAGTGTAAAAAGGTCCCTTCCCATGCCTTTAGGCGTATTGGAAATATAGGGCTAGACTTGTATTTTTACAGACCACTTGGCAATTGGTGGGCAATGTGGTCAGCATCACGCCAGCCGTCTTTACTTCCCAGAACTTCACTTAGTACCCACTCAAGGCTGGGTCAGCTTGGGGAGTCAAGGTCATTTTTAAAATATAGTCTGGCTCCGAGAGGGCGCAAACCCAAGACCTTCCGATCCGCGGGCAGGCAGGCATCTAGCTGCCAACGCCATGGCAACTTCCCGAAATGTTCGGTGTGACCAGCTAAATTTTAAAATAGCATCTAGTGGGGTTTCCTTTTTAAAAAAAATGGCTCTTATTTGTAGAAATTTGAACCTCATATCTTTCCTAATTATTACGGTTGCACCTAGTCACAGGGTCAACTAAGTGTCGCGCATAAATAGTTTACACTGCTCAAGAGATGTAAGCCAGTTGATTACATGCTGCATTTTTATTTTTTGAATACTTCCCTAACTCTATATAGTATTTTGCGATTTTTGTGTCTGTTTGACATGTGTAAAATGTTTGTTTTTCTGACAGTTTTTATTGGTGGGAATATCTGAAAAATTGAAATGGACATGGTCTCAGCTTTTGTATCTTTGTTTTTTTTTTTTAATTTGTATAGGTCCCTGGGATGAAAGGGATATAACTGTGATCTTTAAATGGTTATCCTTCTTGATGATGGTATTCTTTGAATACATGTGGAGTAATTCTGTAGAATATCTTTTATTTGAGCAAAGAAGACAAAAAATAGAATGCACAGTTTATTGCCTGGCATATGTTGCTGTGTCTCAACAGATGCATACTATAGAAACAATTAACCCACTGACTACCAAGCCCATTAACCCTTGCATTTCCCCAGATACCACATATTTTAGTGTTTACTAAAAATGCCATAGCTTCACAACTATTTGATATAATCTCACAATATTTTGTATTTTTGCACCAAACTGAATGAAGAACAGATTTCAAGAAAAAAAAGTTGTTTATTTTGTTTTGCATCATCATCATGTGGCTGTAGATTGGTGCAAAAAAGGCAACCGGAAAATCTTTTATCTGACAACAATAAAGACAAATAAAAATGTCTTATTTTCAAAAAATATTTAACAAAAATATTTTGTATTTTTGCACAAAATTAAACCAAGAACACATTTAAAGAAAAAAATAATAAGGTTTACTCTGACATAGTCATCATCATCATCTGGCTGTAGATTGTTGCAAAAAAGTCAACTGAAAAATCATTTATCTGACAACAATAAAGACTGATAGTGATGATTTTTTTTCAAAAATTTTCAACAAACATATATAATATTTTGTATTTTTGCACAAAATTGAACCGAGAACAATGTGAAGACAAAAAATTGGGTTTACTTTGTCTGACATAATCATCATCATCATGTGGCTGTAGATTGTTGCAAAAAAGGCGACTGAAAAATCCTTTGTCTGACAATAATTCAGACTCCCAAAAAATGTCACAGCTTCACAACTGTTCAATATCACTTATCCTATCTGATATTGTTTGCACAAAATTAAAAAGATAACAAATATCAAGACAAATGTAGATTTACGTTTTTATATCATCATCATGTGGCTGTAGATATGGTGCTAAAAAGGCAACTGAAAAATCCTTTGTCTGACAATAATTCAGACTCACAAAAAATGTCACAGCTTCACAACTGTTCAATATCACTTATCCTATCTGATATTGTTTGCACAAAATTAAATAGATAACAAATATCAAGACAAATGTAGATTTACGTTTTTATATCGTCATCATGTGGCTGTAGATATGGTGCTAAAAAGGCAACTGAAAAATCCTTTGTCTGACAATAATTCAGACTCCCAAAAAATGTCACAGCTTCACAACTGTTCAATATCACTTATCCTATCTGATATTGTTTGCACAAAATTAAATAGATAACAAATATCAAGACAAATGTAGATTTACTTTTTTATATCATCATCATGTGGCTGTAGATATGGTGCTAAAAAGGCAACTGAAAAATCCTTTGTCTGACAATAATTCAGACTCCCAAAAAATGTCACAGCTTCACAACTGTTCAATATCACTTATCCTATCTGATATTGTTTGCACAAAATTAAATAGATAACAAATATCAAGACAAATGTAGATTTACTTTTTTATATCATCATCATGTGGCTGTAGATATGGTGCTAAAAAGGCAACAGAAAAATATGTTATCTGACAGCAATATATAGAAAACGCCCCCGTGACATGATGGTGGCAGCAAATGATGAGTGGAGAGATGGATATAAACTCTTGTAGTCTGAAATAGCTTTTTCACAACACATGTGACACAACAGTACAAGAAACCCTGTCACTTCATTAGGGGTTGTGTGTTTCCAGTTCCAGCGCTAATCTTTGTCTCAGCATAACGGTTTGTTTCTTTAGCAAACACAGCAAGTATGTCTTTACTGAAGAAAATATCCAGTGGTTCATTTGTTCCTTCTGGCAGAAATAAAACAGAAGTGCCAGTAAATGGTGGTACTCCAGGAAAGCCTTCTAAATCACAATGCCAGTCATCAACCATTTGGGGGCGTGGCACATCTTCTCCGGACTCGTTAGATGATGATGATTCTGAATCAAAAGCGGCAATGATATTTTCGTCATGTGCAGACTCAAGCACAAAATCTTTATAATCTGTAGGCTTTGACTGAATACTCTTACAAGAACTATCAGCATCATAAACTGCGGCACCAGTACTTACAGCCGACAACACTGTTTTTGTCAGACTTGACTTCGAAGCGTCATACTGTCGTTTTACAGTCGACGATGTTTTCAATGGCACTTCGTTAAATTTATTATAGTCATAGCCATCAAACTGTTTAGAAGTGTCTTCAAATGCACTTTTTGAAGCAAAATCAAGAAAATCGAATGCATCATTAGAAAAATTAGGAGAGATATGGCCACCACGATGGTTCCGATAATTTGACGCCATGATGAATTTTTCGTCAATGTCTCACTGTCATGGGAGCTAACTAAAAAAATTCGTAAAATATTTACTTCAAGCACTACAGAGTTATTTCCCTTAATTAACCATACAGAAATGAATAAGCTAGAGGTTTCAACTAAATCCATCATAAAAATCGCGATTTTAACATGACGGCGAGCGTCCAAAGCTAAAATCGCAAAGGGTGTGACGTTGGCAGATGGAAGTAAACGTCGCCTCGTCGCATTACGTGCGATGTTGGTAGTCAGTGGATTAAATAAATAAACAACTAAGTGGATCCTTTGTAACTGAAGTAGAAATTTAACTTCACTAAAAAGCAGCTGCCTGTTTTACGAGGGCAGCTGCAGGGTCACTACCATGTCTTACTCTTTTATTTAGCAAATCTGCATAATAATAGTCTTAGTCTTTCCTCTGTAGCCTATGGCAGGAGTCATAGCTCTCCATGTTAGGCCCATGGTTAAGCCTTTATAGCTTTTCCTGATGATGGTTCTACATAGAGTCTTTCTTGGTCTTCCATATTTTCTTTTCCCTTCCAGTGTCTATATCAGGGCTTGATGGAGAAGTCTTGTCTGAGTGCGTGACGGATGTAGTTCCAGCAGCGCTTTCTTATAAATTGGATACATTATCTTGTTTGATCTCTTGTCTTAACTGCATATTGGATGTTAAATCTGCCCAGTGATGATTTAATATTTCTCTAAGACATCTGTTCTCAAAATTGTCTTAATTTTTTTTTTTTTAAATCTAGAGCTACCATAAGTTAGAACTGGAATCACACAAGAGTTGAAGATCTTAAGTTATATAATAATAGTGCTTCTTGATTAGTATTGGGAGCTTCTTATCTATGTCCTTCATGGCTTTCTAGGGAGGCTCCCACTGTTGGTCATATAGAGTGTGATTAGGTTTCATTCCCAGTAAGGACTAGTCCCTTCTAGGACACATGTGGTGTGGCTCTCCCAGACCATCTTCCACAACCTTTGCCATCCCCGGAAGAACATCTTGATTCACAATGAATTATAACCCATAACTGCTCCCTCTTGATTTGTTTCTGAGACCAATTCAGGCCAAGGATGAAATTATTTTTTATAATATTTGCCGTCCTTTTTAGGATGAAATTTTTCGTTATTTGAAGCCCCACCCTGGCTCTTGCCAGGGGCCGCAATACAGCCAGGCCAATTGGCTGAACGCGGTTTCTGGGACCTCTCCACGGTGATCCTCATCCACATGGTGACGCATTGTGTCATCGGGTGTTTATCGCTTGTGTGATGTGCTGGTGGGGTAGAAAGTCAGTCAGTCAGGATGAAATTTCTCCTCTCTATAGGACAAAGCCTGGGTAGCATTGTAGAGATGATATGTTGTCCATGCAGCATTCTCAGCACATTGAGTACTGGTTTACAGCTAGGCAGCAATGTCTGCACCTTTCAGCTCAACACATCTGATATCAGCATGTCCCTAATTAACTGCTTTTATGGTATGCTTGTTAGGGGACAGTGGATCTGTCCATTTTTGGTTGGGGGTGGGAGGGAGGGTGGGGATGGGGATCATGGAACCCACACTGTGAGCCCATGCAGCGTGATAGTTAGGATGTCTTGTCTCGTTTAGGATATCGCAAGAATCTAAGATACGCTTCAAAGTTTAAGAAGGATATTGGCCATCCCCAAAACTGAACCAACATGCTTCAGTGCTTGAGATTGTGAGGCAGAAGCTTAATCACTATGCTATGGAAGCCTCCTAAGTGGTGAGTTATCAGCAGCTGCAAGTGTTCCTGGAATACTCTTCATGGCTATATGAAAAACACAGAAGAAAAAATAAAAAATGAAATTTCAATGGAGTTTTAACAAAGGTGATGGAATATGGAAATTAATGAATAAATCAAGCGTTGACATCACAGCACTTGAATCATTCCCACAAGTGCTCTGTCTCCTTTCTTGTGCTGGATATGTCTCTCCAAGTGTGGACACTATTCACTTGCACTGCCTAGGTCAGTGGTTCTCATCCTTCCTAATGCCGCGACCCTTTAATACAGTTTCTCATGTTGTGATGACCCACAACCATACAATAATTTGTGTTGCTACTTCATAACTTCAGTGAATATGTGTTTTCCTATGGTTTATGGCAGGGCTATTCAACTGGCGGCCCGCGGGCCAAATCTGGCCCGCCGAGGCCTAGCAAGTGCCAAAATAGCAAAATGTAGTTATTGAAAAGAACACAAATTAAATCATTCAATGTTTTTTTGTATATTCTTCAAAAACCAGTCATGTCGAATGTTTCAATAGGAAGTGTTTGTCAGGAATCTGTAAATACGAAGGTACAAGGGAACCGGCATAGGAACAGAAAAAGTAATTAGATCAGGGTAAAAGTTCATTCCAAGTTCGCTCAAATAGCAAAACTCACCTGTTTGAAGCCAAAGGTAATAAGATAGGCTGGAAAGAACCAAGTAACAGGTAGGAAGGCCACTGCTGCACTGGACATTCAGTGAAGGTAAGATATTTATTGGACAGGAGGCGTACGGAAATACCAGCACGGTCCTGACAGTTAGAGCTTAGATTACAGAGAATCTCTCCTTAATGGGCGCCACAAACTAATGACATTGGATGCAGCAGAACATCAGACACTGGACACTGCAGAATACCTGCTTGTGATCTTGTTATCAGATTATAATGTCCAGAAAAACGTTCAGTCACATTCACAGTCACAGTCAGGCGTAGATTGTCGGACGGGATTGTACATTAGCAAACTGAATCAGTAACAGTGTTTTAAATTATCCACTTTTAATAATTTAAATACTTGATGCAATGGCTAGCACTAGTGAGCGGGTAAAGTGGGAATGTGAAAATTGTGCATTCAGCAGTGACTGGACACTGAAATATTTATTTATATCACCAACTATGCCTAATTTGAAACCAGTATGCTTGCTATTTAATTTCTTCAACACAGGACTCGGCAATCTTAACCGATCGAATGATATAAATATTTTAAACAACAGATTTGAGGACTTCAATATCCCAAACAATTTAATGTTTTTTGTTCGGGATCCTTTTAAAATCCCTCCTACGTGTGATTTTTGTTCCAATGCTTACTTTACTTAGTTACTCCTCTTCTACCTTGGGGTGTAGAGGTTTTCCAGAGAGATCGCCAGACGTCTCTATCAGTAGTTTTTTTTCTGGCTTTGTTCCATTCCAGTCCTCTGTCAGTTAGGGACTGTCGGATGTTGTCTTCCCAGCGCACCCTGGGTCGTCCTAGAGGTCTGGTTCCCTGGTTCTTAGTCTCCCATGGTGGCTGATTTTCTTCCATTCTGCATACATGTCCAAACCATCGTAACTGTGACTGATCCACTCGGGTTTGTGAGGACTGGGTATCAAGATCTTGACATATTGTCTGATTGCGGACTTTGTCCCTTCTTGTCACTTGGACCACCTTTCTCAGATATCTCATTTCCGAGGCCTGCAGCTGGCTTCTGTGAGCTGTTGTCATTGCCCATGACTCACACCCATAGGTCAGGACTGGTACATAGGTAGAGCAGTAAACAGCCATTTTCGTCCTCTTGCCAATTTCTCTTTCGCTAAGTGTTCCAATGCTAAGAAGTAGATATCCTCTGTTGATGAAGGTTCTCTGCAGTTAGAACTTGTGGATATCCAAAGTTCCAGATTAGTGAATGAAAATTTTCAAGAAAGTGGTACTGTCAAGTTTTGGAACGAAAGGATTCAACAGGAGCAGTTCCCTAATGCTAGAAAACTTGCTATATTCATACTCACCATGTCTGGCTCAACTTGCACTTGTGAATCAAGCTTCTCACACATGAATATCATCAAGACAAAGTCAAAGCTCACTTAGCAACGATAGGCTGCAGAACTGCATGAGAATTGCTCTAACTTCTCACCAGTCAAATTTGGCAAAATTAGCTCAAAAACGATAATGCAGCCTTTTCCATTAATTACATTTTGCATCGTTATACCTTTCGGTTTCTTCTGCAGAACATCAAACCAACTGTGGACAGTTATTATTATTATTATTGTGACAATGGTAACGTTTATTTATGATCCCAACGACAAGTTAAAATTTTGTGAATTTCAATTAAAAGTGATCTCCGTGTGGGTTCCGGGGCCCTATTGTGGGGAAACGAGAATAGACCCACTGCCTGCCCAAAAAAAAGTCGCAAGAGTCGAATAATTGGGAGCTTCCTTTGAAGTCGGAGTATATCTGCCTGAGCCAAGGAACCTAGTCTGCATGCAAATGAGTAAGACCTGTAAAACGGATCTGTGCGCAATACTCAGTTTCTGTAACAGAACTAGAGTCCAGAAGTAGACGTACAATCAGAACTTTCTGCTGGAGTTTACATCTGGTGAATACAAAGAAGAAGAAGAATTAAAAGTGAGTATTATTTAATCATTACAGAAGATTGTAGTACACTTTACATTATAATGGTTTACAACACTGCTACATTTATATGGGCTACGTCCTAGACTTAATAGTTTTCCAGTGTATTACATCTACAGTTCGAAAATGTTGTCAATTGTAGTGTGGGCTCAGGCCACTGGCCCGCGACGATCTCCATGTTCAACATTTTGGCCCGCGAGCAAACTTAGTCGAATAGCCCTGGTTTATGGCGACCCCTGTGAAAGGGTCATTCAACCCACAGGTTGAGAACCGCTGGCCTAGGTGATGGCAGTAACTCAAGTGTTTGTGTGGCTCGAAACACAAAACCACACCCACACATGTGTACTTAGTGATTCAACGAGTATGATCCGGAGGATTCAGGCAAGTTTGATGCGAAGACAGTGGCTTGAGTCATTACAGAAGTCCCTGTGTGTGTGGTCACCTTTATTTTCTATCCAGGACATGCTGGTGTCAATGGAAATTAAAGAGCTGATAGGTTGGCTGGATCCGCTATCACGCCGACGGTCACCCTATGGATCATGCTAATATTAATAATGCCTTGCAAGAAATGGGAAGGGTGGAGGATTTTGGGTGCAGTGAACCCACATCTCTAGCCAGAATGATTGACTTGGGAGTCAAGATCGGCATAGCAAAAAAAATGAGACACCAGACATATCAGAGGACTTGTTAATCAACACAAAACTGGTACAGTTAGCCACTGAGGGGAGTATCTGAGCACCTATGGACATGTCTGGAGTGCAATGATGATAACCCAACCACTGCCTATTTGATCCCAGAGAGCCATCATCATTTTCAACACCCCAGTCAATAAGTGACATCAGCTTTATTCGGATATCAGAATCGATTGAAGACTGATGATCTTATGGTGAATTCAGGGGGTAGGAAGGGGAAGTATAGAAGTACAGAGAAATGTCTGGGTAGCCACTGGTAACAACAGGTATTCGAAAGAGATGGTGGCGCTATATTAGACACATCCTGAGAAGAAATGAGCAGAGAATCACTAAAAAGGAACTAAAATGGGAAGTGAAGGGACTGAGGAAAACGGGATATCCAAAAGAAAACCCTAAAATAAAATTTTGATGAGGTAAGCTAAAGGTGCTGGACTAGATTGCATTGATGATATTGAAAGGTTTGCTTAGGATAGAAGGGAATGGAGAAAAAGACTGCGAGCCCTATGTGACATTTTTTTAAATGGCACAACTTGATGATGATGATGACGAATTTCTGCTCCATCCGTGTACATGAAGAAGAATTTATTTTAAGAAAATGTGTAAGAAATCCTGATTGTATGTGAAAATAGTTTTGTTTTGCTGTTTTAAGAAAAGTTGTGCAAAAATGCATTATCTTGTTTTATCTAAAATATGGTGTTCTTCACAGGTATTTTCCAACTCCCCACTGGCTGACTTTCAACTGGCCAATGACTCTGACTCTGCCAGTCTTGCCAGTTTGGATGTCTGCCAAATGAAAGCCAGCACCATTTCTGCAGACTCTGGTTTTCCCACTGATTGCATGTCCACAAATGGCACCAGGCCATCCACTGAGTCAGTTCTCGTTGCTGCACACCGAAATAGCATGTCAGCTGACAGCGCTTCTTTGTCATCACTGAGCTCATCTTCAGGTGACCCAGACAGGCATAAAAGACTAGAAAATGTCTCTTCTAGTTTTGGTGGAAATGACGCTCCCTCACTTGAAGTCATTCACCTGAAGGGTCAAAAATCGCACCCAGGTAAATCTAAAAGAAAGAAAATCGAAGGAATCAGCAAAAGAAAACTACAAAATATGAGTAATGGTTCAGTGTTGGCTAACAGTTATATGGTCAAGAACATATCATCTTGTGATTGCAGACAAAGAGAAAGGAGTTCAGATACCACATCAGATGTTTCAGCAACTGGATTCAAACAGAATCCATACTCACATGTTTCTAACTTGACTCCATCATCTACTGACCCATCAGCTACAAGAAATGTTTGTGCAGAAGTCAGTGGCAGTATATTATCTCTCACCCTAAAAACTAAAGGATGCACAGCATCAGAGTATAGATCTTTGCCAAACAGTTCAATTAAAGCCCCAGTACAGGAAGGCACTCTCTCATCAGGAAATGCATCATCCGGGTCTTTGCCAAACAGTTCAATTAAAGCTGCAGCACATGAGGGCATTTCTTCAACAGAATATGCACTGTCGAGGTCTGAATCATTGTCAAATAGTTCAAGTACAGCTGCGGCTGAGGATGGCACTGTCTCATCAGGATCTGTTTGCTTGACTGCCAATTCATATGCATCCTTGGTGCAGGATGGAAGTCCTTTCTCAGAATTTTGTGATTCAAATACATCAGAAGCAAGCTCTCTGAACAGCAATAAAAGTTCATTTCCAACGGGTATCAGTATTCTCCAAGATTTATATGTTGAAGATGACCAGTCTTTCAAGTCCATAAAAGGAAAGCTTGCAGCTCATTTGATGCCTGATACATTAGGACAATCCAACAGCTGTTTGGCCAACAGTGTGTATACTGATTGTGAAGATGAAGAAACTGTTGTCGATCAACATAGCCAGTCAGATGTGATGTTTGAAGCGAATAAGATGTGTGTAGCATGTGATGTTCAAAGCCTGCCTAATGGGTCATGTGTACAAGGTGAACAGATTGGAGGAGGTGATCAGAACAGACTTGATGTGTCTTATGTCCAGGGCCAGTCTTTGCCTTGTGTCCAGAGCCGACCAGATGGAGCATGTGTCCAGAGCCAACTGGATGGGTCAAGTGCCGTCAGCGAGCAAAGTGCACCTTGTGTCCAGAGTCAACTAAATAAAGCATGTCTTCAAAGCCAACTTGATGCAACATCTGTCCAGAGCCAGCAGACGGGAGCATGTGCCCATAGCCAGCCAGATATGCCACATGTTCAGAGCCAACCAGATACACAACTTGTCCAGAGTCAACCAAATGCATCTGACATCAAAAGCCAATCAGGCATACCAGATGCCCTGCATCATACAAACTCCAGCTGTGATGAGCAAGTTAAAATAAAGAGAATTATCGATAACAGCAGAAATAAGGATCCTGACTTTTCTTACCAAGCTGAAGAAGATGTTGATGTTTACTCTAGAAGTGCAAGTGATGCTGCAGAAAAGTCTCACAGAGTGTCCGAATCACTAGAACTGACATGTGAAGTTTCTTCTGCCGGATGCCTGGCTCACTTAGAAGTAAGTGTATAGATGTATATATGTATGTGGGTATCTGTATGGGTGATTGTTTATGTGTGTGTATGTATGTAATATGTGTGGGCATGTATGTGGGTGTATGTATGCATGTATGTTTGTATCACAGCCATCTTTAGATATAAATAGGCCAACTGGGTCAACGGGGATTCCCGTTCTTGTGCAAGAATTGAGTCCTTCTGTGTTAACAGTTTTTATCGAGGAGATGTATACACAAATTAAACTACAGTTTCATTAATTTTCTACATATTTTATAGAACTATACGTTATTTTTAAGGTAAATAAGTGTGCTATTTAAATATAACAATAAACGCTCTTACAGACAAACAAAAATACTTTTGTTACAGTCAACATGAACATAAACATCAATACTGTTAGTTATTAATTAGTAAACAAGCGGCTGACTTGCTTAAAAAGTTAAGTAAATTATAATTACATGATACACAGCAAAAAGATAATGACAGTTGAAAACATGCTGGGAATAGATGGCCCTAGAGAACTACAGGGAAAGATTTAACAGTACATCACAAGAACAGAGGTTAATATACATATATATATATATATATATGTTAAGTCAGTGAAGCACATTAAATCATGTTTTTTTCCACTTACCCAGAGGCAGCTCAGAAATATCCTGACACAATTTATCCACAGTGAAGTTGCACAATTTATGCACAGTCAATAGGAAAATAATAATTTTCTTTCAGAGTAAATTTCATAACAATACAAGGGCACTACTAAATATTTCTCCTCAATACTGTATAGAGAATGTATACAAGTCAACATGATCATATGGTTTAAGATGAGGACAACATTCTCTCCTTATTCAATGTGCAAATTTGTGCAGTTTCCTCTTGTTAAATGAATTCAGTTCCTTATCATTGTGAATTTTTTGGTAATTATTTAGGAATATATTACACAGCGGAGATAGCGCTTTTGAAATAATACCCGACTTTGGACACCCATTGGCACACACACCATTCACTTCACCAGCATAATATTTCTGAATACTGCATGTAACAATGCACATAAGTAGCTTCTTGTGCTGTTTACATGACATGAATTTAGCTTCTAGTTCTGATGATATGAGCCTCTGCATAGCAGCATAAGACACAAATGTCAACAGTGTAATCAACTTACAAGGGTATTTGAAGCCTCATCGATCCATTAGCTCGATATACTCAGTGGAGAAATCTGGCTGAACATCAACTGTTAATGTTTTGTCCATTTGTAGCAAAGTCTTACATGACATGCACTGAACTTTTCTGGTGATCTTACTAGAGACAAATCCAGCAATATAAATTAATACTTGCTCTGTACCTTCAACACAATACAACTCTCAGTCATTAGGATCAATGTGGAAAAATACTTTGTCTAGATCAGACTGGATGACATCAAAAACATTATGGCCACTGTGCTCACAGCCTCTGCAAAGTTGCGAATTGCAAAGTTTCCATAAACAGATGATGTCAGGCATAAAACGGAGTAAACCTTCAATTTCTTTTCTGATTCCAAAATTTCACCGACACAAGATAGTTTGCACCTGACAATTGTCGATATTCACTAAATCTGGCTTCTAAATTATCTGTTTGTAGTTTTCCCAAAAGTAGGAATTCCGCATTAAAAGTAGAAAAAGATTAGTCAGCCAGTTCAATCACAGCTTTTACAGTATGCAACAAAGCAGTGTGTGTCTCTCTTGTTAGTTTTCCCTTCAAAGCAGGCACCTTAGTCCATTCAGTCAACCAAACAAGAAAGTTTTTCAAATAATGAAGTGATTCATCATTAACTGAAGTGAGTGGACTGGCAAATATGTTACCAGTATTTCTACCTGAGAATCTACTCTTAACATTCATAACATGGGTAAAGAGCTTTGTATCTTAAAGTTGGTGCTAACTTCACAATGTTGAGGCGCTCGGTCTGGTACAGATCCTTCAGATGTGAAAAAGACGCACTTGCTACTTTGCTGGTATAATTTGAGGTAGATGCTGCATTCAGCATTAACCCAGCTGTGGAGGGATATGAAAATGTCTGCTCTGTGTCTTTCTGATTTATCCAATTTATCCATATACATTTAAGCAGGTGAACAGAGTCATACTGAAAGAAGATTTTGTTGCCTGGAATGCCTGCATGTACTGCTGGACTTGAGAAGATTGTTGTACACTTTGCGGTTAACAGAGTAGTTGTCTGCAATAACTGCCAAAACTGTAAAACCACATTCTTGAACAGTTTTGATTATCTGAAGCAATTTTGCACTTAGATCCTTTGATGTCATTCTGTGCATTGGTGCCAACTCTACAACTTCATGGTAACTACCAAATACAGAAGAAATCATAAAAGCTTGAATTGTTGTTGCTGAATGTGTTGAGTTTTCAGCTCTACCAAGTAACCGACCTCCTGAGTAATTTACAGCTGATTTCACATGGATTTCATCCATTTGCACCGCTACAATCTTTTCCAAATCAGAAAGCCTGCACTCTTTAAATTTTAAGTATCCAGAAATGCTCCCATCACTGTTAGACAGTGCGCAAGGTGAAGTTAAACTTGTTAATGTGTTCGGATGTGGGAGACACAATAACATAGATTTTCTGATAAATCTGTAGCATGTAGGAGATTTGATGAAAATCATATAGGAAAAACACAATGTACAACTGCTGTAGCGTCTGGCATATTTGCTCTTATTAATCAGTTGAATCTGTTCTGTCATAAACATTAATTGCTTTTCAGTTGTCTGTACATTAGTGTCCTCAGATGAGGACAATATCTAAGTTACTGCAAGCTTCTTCCAACAAATCACTGAAACTCTTCGGAGATGTTGCGGAGTCAGTCTCCTTGTAACGAATCAGTAGATTTTCTAGTTGCGACCATCTTTCCAATTTACTTTTAGTAATAATCCAATCAAGATCTTGACAAGCAACCTGTTTACTTTCCAGATACACTTCTACACACATATCTGGTAAGATCTTTACACTTACTGATATTTATGGTGCAGTGTCTGCTTTCACGCTGACTGTACAATACAAGACAACATGATGTACCCTCTGTGACAGTATACATTTTCCAGTTCGTATCTAACAAGTCTTTTAATTTGGTGGTAATCTGACACTGCAGCGTTTCAAAATCCTCTACAATATCCATTGATAGCCACTCGCTGTTATTATTTTCATATCTGCTGACAATTTCTGATGCTCGTTTTTTAGGATTTTTGCGAGCTTGTGGTACTTCAACTGATAAGTAGGCTGGCAGTTCTGGAAACACAGATGAGATGGATATGCATTTGATTTTAAACCAGGATACTTTCTGGGTACCTCATGTTCAACACCAGATTTATCTGTAAATTTGTTCGATACAATAATATCACGGGGAAGAAAATGATGACGACACACCACGCTGGATTTATTAGGCGACCAATCTTTACGTGGTATGCACTTCTTCCATTTATCTCTCATTTCAGAGTCCCTTGGGAATTTGAATACAGTTACATATTCACTCGTCGATCTATAATTAGATTTACATAAAGGAATACTACATTTCCTAGGCATTTTTATTTATATAATCACACTCAAAACAGTTAAATGTAGTTAAGGGAGTATGTATCCTCAACACGCAAAACATCTGAACAAAGAACACATCAGTCGAAGAAGGAAGGAAGTAGGGACTCCCTTCCGTTTTGTTATGAAATTAGTTGTCAGGACCTATAAATAGCCCTGAAGATGGGCCTGGTTTATATGTATGCATATTTGTGGATGTATGTATGCAATTTTAGCAGTGTAAGTATGTGGGTGTATGTGTATGTATTTAGGTATGTATGCAAGTATGTATATATGTATGTGTGTAAAGATGTGGATGTATGTATAGATGTGTGTGTTTGTATGTATGCATGTGAGTGTAAGTATGTGGGTGTGTGTGTGTGTGTGTATGTATGTATGCAAGTATGTATGTATGTGTGTAAAGATGTAGGTTTATGTATAGATGTGTATATGTATGCATGTATGTGTGTGTATGTATGTATGTGTGTATGTATGTAAGTGTAAATGTGTGGTTGTGGGCGTATATGGATGCCTGTACATGTGATTGTATGTGTGTATGCATGCATGCATGTGTAGGTGTGTATGTATGGAATCAATGTGTGTGTGCATGTATGTCAATATGTGTATGTCTTTTCTGTTTGTGTATGTATGTAGATGCATGTATGTATGTATTAGGTATGTCTGAATTTGCATGTTAGTTAGTTAGTTAGTTAGTTAGTTAGTTGGGTTATCATCATTGCACTCCGGACATGTCCATAGGTGCTCAGATCCTCCCCTCAGTATGAATCCCAACGTCCGATGGCTAATAGTACCAGTTCTATGTTGATTAACAAGTCTTCTGACGTGTCCGGTGTGCGTCTCGTTTTTTGCTGTGCCGATCTTAATTCCCAAGTCTGCCATTCTGGCGAGTGATGTGGATTCACTGCCACCAAAGTCCTCTATCCTTCCCATTTCTCTGAGGGCATTGATAATATCAGCATGATCCATAGGCCGACCGTCGGTAGTGATAGCGGATCCAGCCAACCTGTCAGCTCTTTCATTTCCATCGACGCCTGCGTGTCCCGGAACAAAAATAAAGGTGACTCCTCGCACAGTGGACTTCTGAATTGATTCAAGCCATTGTCTTCGCACTGAACCTGCCTGAACCCTCCGGATCATACTCATTGAATCGAATTTGCATGTATGAGAATGTAAGAGTATATTTACTTGTGTGTTAGTGTGTAAGATTGTGTACACATGATGTGTGCATGCAGTATTTTTATAATGCATGTTTCTTTATTATATCCATAACATGCATTACTGATAACAGGCATTGGTACTCTGATAAATGAGTGCTTAGAAGAGCCGAATGTCAGATGGGCCTGCATGCCCAATTTGTAACCCTTTGAAAATAAAGTTTGTTCGATCGTAAGTAAAGTCTGTTCATTGCCTTCTAAGTAAAGTGAAGAACCCTTTTTACAGTAGTGGTGCACTGCAGGGTATAAGAGGTTCAGGATGAGATGAGGTGTTTTGGCAGATTATGCTAGATTTCGGTCAGAATAACACTAACTGCCTTTACTTCCCAGGTCTTTACCTGGTACCTGTTTTAGGTTGTGTCAATTAGGCCATGAGTAATATTAAAGAAGTGTGCCTCAAAGCAGATGTGAACCTAAGTTCTTTAGGCATTGCAAGCACATGTCTAGCCACTACACCACCACAGCTCTCTTCCTGCATTCTACCTTTTTAACCCTTTTAGCCTGTAAGAATCTGTTTTAAAACAAACAAAAAAAGACTTTTCTCCCCTAAATTTCATTTTAAAAAATGTATCTTTATCATTCTCAGAAACTCTACCCTAAGATGTATAAAAATCCAGGGGTTTTGTTAACAAAGCTGTGCCAAGCAAAGTGATGTCATCATAAGTTTGTTATGATGTAACACCCACATTTGTGCACAATTTTTAAAGCAGCTAAAATTTGTATGACCACTTCTCTCTTCTTCCCTCATGGCACAGTTCACCTTCTGCTTCTTAGTGTTCACCAGCTGTAAACTTTGACAGAGAGGTCTGGTTGTTCGTCCACTTCTAGACTTTTTCATCTCAATCCACATGTTGACTTTTGCTAGTACATGTTGTTTTATAGATCTGGCCTAGTTTTAGGCAGATTTTTGGTTCCTCACCTTTCAAGCAGATGCACTCCAATTTCAAAGGAAACACTTCTAGTTTGTCTCATTTACAATACACTTGTGAGAGGCCTATTGGTCCGTGCCTTTTTTCCTCATAATGGAGCCCCACAACCCACTTTAGGAAGTGAAGCACCTAAGCCCTATAGAGGACACATGACCAGCCTGGCCCTTATCTCGGACAGTTCCTATGTCACGTGCTTAATCGTGATCACCTCCTGCTTTTAAACCCCTCTCCGGATGGAGTATAGGCCCTCCCTTCAAGCCACTTTATCTTTTGCCATCTTTTGTCAATGTTCTCCCATATTATTAGTCTGTTGCTTCTACATCTTTTAAAGTTTCCCTCTTTTTCTCTGACTGTACTGGTTCTGTATAGTTTCCTGTATGGCATGAGATTCATTGCTGCAGGTATCACACACCTCTATTCATCCATGGCCATCTCTTTCCAGTTGATTACTCCATGTGTTTTGCGTTTATAGGTCTGCTGTATGTTATCTTTCCAGACTTCTTGGTCTGCTTCTTGGTTGACAGCCATGCAGCTCTTTTGTGTCTGCACTTTTTGTCTCTCTGTTATGTGCCATTCACCCTATATGCCCAAACCATTTCAGTCTGTTATCCTTTTTGATGGCAGTAATTAGTGGTGGTTTCAACATATTATTAATTTCGTTGTTGCTTCTCTCTGTCCAGGATAATTTATAGTAATTTTATTGTTAATAATCATTCAGGGTGACAACAACCCCATCCTTCACACTGCCGATTCTCATGATGGCATAGATAGAGACAGACCAGAGGAATACCTTGCAGATGTGGATCTTTCTTTGAGGTTTGTTGCTGTGGCTTTTTGTAGCCATACCCAGCATTTGTGATATTGTTTATTTGTTAATTATTTCAGATGTGTGTGCTGCTTGTTGTAGTCATACCCAATGTTTGAGATAACTGGGCACTTTTCTGTCTTTTTAGTTGATAGTGTTCCAACCTTCCTCCTTTCTCATCTGGGCTTAGGAACTGCAATGGCGGATATAGAGGTAGAGTACAGATGTAATAAAGCAGATCCAATCATTGGACAGATTTCACCAATATTACAAATAAATGTGTAACAATTGGCAGTGTTCAGTGCAGTATTTTTTACTAACATTGTGTTACGAGTACCAAACAGTTTATATAAACAGTTGTAAGAAAAAAATTGAAACAACAGAAATGAAATGTCTAAAACAAATCCTAAATGTAACAAGAAGAGGCAGAATCAGAAACAGGCATATCAAGAAATACTTTTGGAGAGAACCAGACCTAAACTTTATCAGGAGACAACAGATCTGATGGTTCAAGACATCCACAAGATAGCACGCTACAAAGTGCCCTGTCACTTAGGCACAATGAAAGCAGTAATAGATGGTGGGTGGATAGATTGAATATACAAGGCTGTGATTCCCAGCATCCTGTAGACACACCAAGGCTGACACCTTGAACATGAGTCAAGACAGCCCATCACAGAGAGCCCTGACACTTGTGCACAGCGGAATCATATCTGGAGGTCGCCCATGCAAGTGATGGATAGCTGGAATATCTAAGATCATGAATCCCAGCTTCTACACCTAACAAGAATGCCCTGGTACTATCCACCACAGCGAGCCACACTTAAACGTTACAACGGGTATAGAGCGAGAGGAAGACCTCCAAAAATATGGAGTGATGGCATTAAGAACAGCCTTACAGAAACGAACATCAGTCTTAATAGTGCTCTTGACAGAGCTCATCAACAAACATTACATCATCCCCCAACACTTTGATGAGGTAAAAGGTGGAAGAGAAGAAGAATGAATCCCATCTTCTATGTAGAACACATCAAGGCTGACACCAAACAGCTCTTCAAAACCTGATGCTGAAAATGTGCACTCTGTTTATTTATATCGTCCTTTGTTCAAATATTTTATTTTCTATTTTATGCAGACTGGATAATAACATGGTGCTGCAGCTGATGCTGGAGGTGTTCTGCCATGAAGACGAGCAGTTACTAAAGGTAAATATATTTTAAAATTTCTATGTGTTTTTGTCAGATGTCACATGTAATGAAACAATTATAACAGTCAAGTTAACAAACTGCATGTTCAGTGACATAAACCATTTACTCATCTCCAAACAAATATCACAGACATCAAAATCAAGGATAATCAGAGTTTTGTGTGTTCAGTATTGCTGTATTGTGCTCATCTCTCTCTTTTTTCAGGGAGCGATGGCATGTTATGAACAATAGTAATGGAAGCAGTTCAACCAAAAATTCATAAGAAATACTGAATGGCAGCTGCAACTTTTGTAGCTCAGATACCATGCCCACATTGCTCCAGATATTCCATACCTAGATTGGCCTTTTTTGGCCAATTGTGAGTGATTCATTACTGAGGTTTATAGTCGGTGAACTCTCGAGAAGAAGATTACTAATGTTTCTATTACTAATCCTACCATTGTTGCTGCCACTGCTACTTCTAGTATTATTCTTTAATGTTTTATAATTATGTGGAAAGCAACTGTTTACCTCATGAACCTCAAAGAACATAAAAGTATGATTATGGTGCAAAATTGAAATCTCTGTGGTAACATTATTCATATCTTTGTCTGCAGATGTTTGTAACCTGGGAGAATCAGACTGAGGGTGGAACCAACGTGGCATACCTTCTTATCTCCAACCATTGCCTCTATGTCCTGCATTACCATCGGACAGAGAAGAAATTTGTCCAGCAGTCCTGCACTGCTTTGTTGGATATTATTTTTATAAGTGTAAGTCTAAGAAAAAAGAGAATGAGTTGAGTTGAGTCCAGAATTGACATCACAGCACACAGGGCACTGCCATGCATGCTCTGTCCTCATCTTCAGCAGCCAGAGTTCCAATACTGATGGTACCGGTCACAATCTGGTTAAAAGTCCGTCGTGCCTTTCCTCTGAGTGTAGTGAGCCGGCCAGACCCTCTGCATTACCATCGGACAGAGAAGAAATTTGTCCAGCAGTCCTGCACTGCTTTGTTGGATATTATTTTTATAAGTGTAAGTCTAAGAAAAAAGAGAATGAGTTGAGTTGAGTCCAGAATTGACATCACAGCACACAGGGCACTGCCATGCATGCTCTGTCCTCATCTTCAGCAGCCAGAGTTCCAATACTGATGGTACCGGTCACAATCTGGTTAAAAGTCCGTCGTGCCTTTCCTCTGAGTGTAGTGAGCCGGCCAGACCCTCTGGTTACACGCAGGTGACTCATTCTCTCCAGGTCATAATAATCTTTTTTCTCTACTGAATCCAGTGCTTGTTGCAGAAATAAGAGAAATGTCTATACAGCCACTGATAGTAACAGTTATAAGACAAAGAAGATGGCGGTATATTGGGCAAGGATTCAGTTGGGTATATCTTGGGGGAAAACAAACAGAGAATCACTAAACAGGCACTTCTTCTATGTTTTCTTCTTCGTGTTCACCAGCTGTAAACTCTGGCGGAAACTTCTCTTTGTTCATCTACTGCAGTCCTGTTCCAGAACCTGAGTGTTGTGTGTGCATCCGTTTTACAGATCTACTCATTTGTATGCAGACTGATGGTTCTTTGCCTCTCAGGCAGATGCACTCCCACTTAAAAGGAAGCTCCCAGTTAGTCCACTCTTACGACATGCTTATGGGTAGGCATTGGGTCTATTCTTGTTTTCACTATAACAGGGCCCCGGAACCCACACGGGGACTAAACAGGCACTGAAATGGAAAGCAAATGGGCTGCAACAACGAGGAGGTCTAAGTGAAACCTTTAGATGATTGTTGATGAGAGAAGCCAAAGGTCCTCATCTGGATTCCATCCATAATATTTTAAAAATGTTACACTATAGTACAGTATGAAAGAATAAACTGAGGAAACTTAGTATAACAGCGGCACAATATGATGATGGTAATGATGTTTAGTATCATTAAACCTGTCATCATCATGTAGCAGGTCCCCTACAGAACATAGTTCTCATCATGGTTTGCCTGAAAGAAACTTGATCTCTTGCCAGCTTTCTTACCTCATGTACTTTCATATTCAAAGGTCACTTGTATCCTGTGTCCATCTTCATGTTGCCTCTCCTTCCTGGTACCATGCCTTCCTTGATACGACCAAAATATTTCAGCTTCTGAGACAAGAAACTGATGTTCAGATCTTTTAAATTGTTAGTATTTCTTCTCTTTTTTATCCGTGAAATTTTGTGAGATTCTTTTTATAGCATTTCAGCTCAAAAGCCCCCATTCATTGAATCTAGGTACTTTTGTGTGTCAGCTTGCTTCAGATGGGTCCCATTTATTTTGATGATGTACTTTGGGGGGTAATCATTTCTTTGCAATTACCGTTATTTTGCAACCTAGCGAAGAAATGATGATGTGCCAGTGAAACGTTTCTGCAAACATTGATGAAAATGGTTAAAAGTGCTGGAATGGATTCCAACCATTATATTGAAAATATTACATGGGATGGAGCACAAAAAAAGGGTTTTGGATTGTCATTATCCCCGTGTGGATTCCTGGGCTCAGCTATGTGGAAATCAAGAATACACCCACTGCCTTCCCAGCAAGCATGTCGTAGGAGTGGACTAACTGGAGACTTCCTTCGAAGTCGGGGTGCATCTGCCCAAGAGGCAAGAAACAGCCAACTGCACACAAATAAGTCAGTAAAATGGATGTACACACAAAACTCAGGCCCTGGCACAAAGTCCAATGGACGAACAGCCAGGACTTTCCGCCAGAGCTTACAGCTGGTGAACAAAGAAGAAGAAGAATTATCATTACTTCTGTTTTTACACAGTTTAAACAAAGATCTTTGTTTGAACTAGGATACATTAGAAGAGGTATATCTTTGAGGTGAGTTGAGTTAAGAATTGACATCACAGAACTCGGAACATTCCCATGTGCACTCTGTCCCCATCTTCAGCAGCCAGCACAGAGTTCCAATTCTAATGGTGCCGGTCGTAATCTGGTTAAATGTCCCTCTTGCCTTTCCTCTGAGTGAAGTGAGGCTTTGACCACATCTGCCTATCATATATCACTTCTTCACCCAGTGGTGCAGATCCAGCCAGACTGTCTGTCTGTCCATTCCTCCACCACATTTGCATGGCCTGGAGAAAAGATCCAAAGTATGCTCACTACCTGTGATGTTCCCAGTGAAGCTTGCCACTCTGCTCGAAGCATCCCTGTCTTCACCTTTTCAGAAGGAATATCCTTCTAGGGGTGGAACTAGATAAGCACAATTAAGCACAAAGCATCACTTTACCTTTTTTTTGACAGTGGCATGGAGAGGGGACCTTTTGGAGAAGCAGTGGTAATTTACTGAGTGTAAAAATTGCTTAATAAAACAAATAATTGTGGGATCATTTCTGTAACCTTCTGTAAAGGATTTGAAAATAACTTATTGTAACTTGTCTTGTATGTTCCAGGTTGGTCTAAACACAGCTTAATGTAACATATTTTGTATGCTCTATGTTGGTCTGAACATAACTTAATGTAACATATCTTGTATGTTACGGGTTGTTTTGAACATAACTTAATGCAATATATCTTATATGTTTCAGGTTGGTCTAAACATAACTTAATGTAACATTTCTTAAAAGTTCCAGGTTGGTCTGAACATAACTTAATGTAACATATTTTGTATGTTCCAGGTTGGTCTGAACATAACTTAATGTAACATTTCTTATATGTTTCAGGTTGGTCTGAACATAACTTAATGTAACATATTTTGTATGTTCCAGGTTGGTCTCAATGGACAGACTCTGAACATTGAAAGCAGAGGCAGAAACAAGCAGAAACAGAGATTGTGGCTTACTCCTGGCAACCACAACCTGTCCCAGTAAGAGTCGTGTCCCTTGAACATATGATTTGACATGATTTTGGCTCCCTGATAATGTGTAGCATTGCTATTCAATTAAGTTTACTTAAGGGCCAAAATTTTGCAATGGGGATCGTTGCAGGCCAGAGGCCAGAGCCCCAGCATAGAAAGAGCTTTGGTACGATATAACTGGCAGTGATCCGCGTGCCACTTTGCTAGGCCTTCGTGGAGAATATTTGGCCCATGGGCCACCAGTTGGGTAGCCCTGATGTTTAGCATGGATTCATAAAAAATATTGATATTCTTCACGACCTGGATATTGAAGTGAACCGGCTCATTAATAGTATAATTTCTCGGAAACTGAAATACTTCAGCTGAATTATAATAATTATCATCATAGACCACCTCTGGTGTGGGGGAGGAATAATGAATGATCCATTGAACATTGGCTGCCCCTGGCTATTGTCATGCTGTGAAGGCGTAGAGTGTCTTTAATGTTGTCGATCCATATTTTCGCGGCTGTCCTCATGCCCCTTTAGCTGATCTTCTGAGATGTCATGCCTTTGATGGTGTATGATCTTGCTGCATTCTAATAATATGGCCAAACCACTTGATCTGCTGTTTCTTGATAAATCTAGAACAAGGTGTTGTTCCCACAATTTATCTGATAGTATCATTATTCACTCGATCTCGGGATGGTTAGGTTGGCGGCTTTTCTCGGGCAAGTTATTAAAATTAACCGCCATAATTGTTTAAAGAGAGCAGTAGTGGGAGGGTATGGTTCCTGGGACTGGGGTCAGCGGTCAACCAGCACATTAGGGACACAGGATATCAAGGACAACCTGGTGGTTTACGAGGGGAGAAAATTAAGCAAGGGACCTAGTGGATTTCCGGCAGTCCTTGATGACAGTGACATTCCGCAAAGGAATTGCTATGTGGTGATAAGCATTAATTCATTGCTTTACTGATGAATTTGTGTGTGTGTGTGTGCATGTGGGCATTGTTTAGAGAAAAAACTTATTTTACTTTCTTTTCTTTTTTTAAAATTGAATTTAAATGTTTAATTTAATATTTTCTAGGTCTATTGTTGCCTGTTTGACTGATGCAGTGAAAGCAGCCAGTGAACATTCAGCAGGGAAGTCCAGATTTAGTGTCGGGAGTGAAGTTCCTTTACAGAAAATTGCTCTCAGAAAATACATCTCCACAGAGTTGAGTATTAAGGTGTGTTCTTCTTATTCACATTCGTTGGCTGTAAGCTCCGGCAGAAAGTTCTGGTTGTTCATCCACTGTTGGTCTTTGGTCTTGTTCCAGAGTTGAGATTTGCTTTGTGTATCCGTTTTACAGATCTAGATTTTTTTTAATGCAGACTGTTGGTTCTTCGCCTCTTAGGCAGAGACAGTCCGACTTCAAAGAAAACACCCCAGTTAATCACTTTTACTACATATTTGGTGGGGGTGGGGAGGCAGTAGGTCTGTTTTTTCCCAACACAAAATGGAGTCCCAGAACTCACACAGGTATTAGTGAGTGAAATGATTTAGTCTTAATATGCTTTCTTTTCCTGTATGTCATGGTGACAAAGTGGTTAGTGTTCAGTTGAGTGTTCTGGGTTCGTTCTCCTCCCAGAAGTGATCGATTTTTCTCTGTTCAGTGCACCTATGAGGTTGACCCATCCACACACGTAGGTGCCAGATAATATTTAGAATTTTTCTGACAAGGTACGAAGATGAGGAATGGAACTTGCCAGTCCACCTCATTTTTTTTTTTTGGCTTGAAGGGTAAAGATGAGAGGATGGACTTCGTTGTACTGGGTTTTATCCCATATGGCTCAGTCTCTGCCTGCTCGTATAGCACTTGCTAGCCCAGGGATGCTTGCAGAATTTGCTCACTGCAGCCGTGAAACAAACCCTTGACCTTCAGAGCGAGAGGCAAATAGCTTGATCATTCCACCATTGAGATCCCATTTGTGGCCTTGAGTGTGTGAAAGTAAACTAAAGGACCCTTTCTAACACCTTCAATCGTATTGGACATATAGGGCTAGACTTATATATTATAGACCAATTAGCACTCAGAGGGTGAAATGGTCAGTATCACGCCAGCTGCCTTGAATTCCCTGGACTTTACCTGGTACCTACTCCAGGCTGGGTCGACCTAGGAGCCAAGGTTATTTTTGAAGGAAAAAAACACTGTTCCATTCAGACTTGAACCAATGACTTTCTGATCCACAGGCAAGTGTCAGGTCGCTACACTGTGGCTGCTTTCATAGAATGTGTTAAGTCCTGCCCGAAATTCTGTACAAAGTAAAGTAAAGGACCCTTTGCAAACTAGTGCCACATCAGGTATATGATTCTAGACTCATGTAATTTATAGACCAGTCAGTCTTTGATGGGTGATATGGTTAACATCACGCTGGCTGCCTTTACTTCTAAAGACATTACCTATACTTATTTTAGGCTGAGTCGACCTGGGAGCCAATGTTGTTATAAAAAAAAACGATCTCGATGTAGGCATTCGGGCCTTGGGTAGAATGTTTAGCCACTTAACCACGACAGCCCCAAAATAACTGCCAATGATTGCCTTTATTATAGCACTTTTGCTGTGTAGGCAGGGAGGTCTTTGAGCCTGAGGATTTTTGGCCACATGGCTAGAGCAGGTGAGGATTTTATTTCGCCCCCGACAACAAAAAAAAAATCCCCAGCCTTACTGAGGATTTGAACCGGGGTCTCACGCTTGAGAGCCCAGCATTTTAACTGTTCGGCCAATTCGCTCCTCACCACTACAGCTCCCTCCCGGGACTACTTTTGCCTCTCCCTATCGTGGGACTACTTTTGCCTCTCCCTATATGTTACCATAGTCTGTCACAGCAAAGAATATTAACACTGTAACTGACCGGGATATTATAAGTGACCTGGGAGGCGTGGCATGACACTGGCTACCTCATCCCATAACAAACTTTTAACTACATACAGAATCCATCCAGTCATGAGCAGGTCTACAAAGGCCTCAGAATTAGTTAGTGGAGGGTGTGTGCCTCATTGGAAGATTTAAAAAAAAGACAACAGAAAGAAAGAAGAAAGACAACTGAAGAAGAATCAAGAATAAAGGCAGGAAAACAAAAAAGAAGAAAGAAAGGCATAAGAAGAAATAAGAAAGCGGAAGTAAAGAAGGAGAAGTAGTAGTAGTAGAAGTCAATGAAGAAGAATAAAGACAGAAGAAGAAAACCAGTAGAGGAAGAAAAAGAAGTAGAAGCAGAAGAAGAAGAAAGGCAGTAGAAGAAGAAGAAAAAAGAACATATAACAAAACTATTATTATTGGCAGCCCCAGGATGTGACATTGTTGGATTATTCTCTGGTCTTCTGGGAGGACCTGTCCTCTGCCACCAGTCCTGGACACTCTGGAGTTTACAAAGAAGGGAGACTTCACCTGTGGATTCAAGGCCCTCTGAAAGGTCACGTCTGGAAGCCTGTTTATGTTATTCTCAAGTAAGTACAATGTTAGTGTTGCTGCTCGACTCTGCTCCACTTTGTTCTGTTGGAGTTTGATTGTGTTTGACCTTGTTCCATTGCATTTCAACTCTGCTCGCTTTTTACTGTTTGCTGCTTACTTGTTTCAGTTCCACTATTTACTCTTTGCAGCTTGACTGTGCTCCACCTTGTACTATTGCTGTTTGACTGTGCTCCACCTTGTACTGTTGCTGCTTATTGCCATCTGCTCTACCTTGTACTGTTGCTGCTCATTGCCATCTGATCCACCTTGTACTTTGCTGTTTGACTCTTCCACCTTGTACTGTTGCAGCTCATTGCCATCTGCTCCACCTTGTACTGTTGCTGTTTGACTCTTCCACCTTGTACTGTTGCTGCTCATTGCCATCTGCTCCACCTTGTACTGTTGCTGCTCATTGCCATCTGATCCACCTTGTACTTTGCTGTTTGACTCTTCCACCTTGTACTGTTGCAGCTCATTGCCATCTGCTCCACCTTGTACTTTGCTCTTTGACTGCTCCACTTTTGTACTGTATTGCTCATTGCCATCTGCTCTGCCTTGTTGCTGTTTGACTCTGCTCCACCTTGTACTATTGCTGTTTGACTCTGTTCCACCTTGTACTGTTGTTAGACCTTGCTCCACCTTGTACTGTTGCTGTTTATTGCCATCTGCTCCACCTTGTTTCTGTTTGACTCTGCTCTACCTTGTACTGTTGCTGTAAGACTGCTCCACCTAGTACTTTTGCTGCTCATCTTCATCAGTTCTTCTTCTGCATTGGCCCTCAAAAGGGCAGTTGACATGTTATGTTGTGGTTTACATCTGTGCTGCGAAATCATCACCTGGCAGTCCAACACATCTGATTTCAGCAAACCCTTAGTTAGTTGCCTCTTACAACATGCTTGTTAAAGGGCATCAGATCTAGACTTCATCTCTCCCTGAAACTGGGGCCATATAACTCACCTGATGAGTTCCATCAGTTCCACTGTAGCGTTGCTACGTGTCTACATCTCTTCCACCCTGTACAGTCTTATATGTGGTTTTTTCTTTTGTGTACATATTTTCCCCTATGTTTCTTTAGCCAAATTTTCTAAACTAACTATACACCTTCCTCTTTTTTTTTTCTTCTTCTTCTTCATCTTCTTCTTCTTATTATTTTTCTTCTTCTTCTTCTTTTTCTTCTTCTTCTTCTTCTTCTTCTTCTTCTTCTTCTTCTTTTTCTTCTTCTTCTTCTTCTTCTTCTTCTTCTTCTTCAGCATTTCAAGCCCTTGGAGTTCATTACTGCAAATACAATCTTTATACCGACATTAGGTTATCAATGTCAGACTTGGACATTAACAAAAGAAAACGAGAGAAGACTAACCACCTGTGAAATGAGATGTTTGAGAATGGCTGCGAATAAAACCAGAAGAGATCGAGTGAGAAACGATGTGATTACAAGAACTATTGGAACCATACCCATCGTTAAATTTATTGAGAAGCAAAGAATGAAATGGTTTGGTCACCTAATGAGAATGGAACCAACGATGCCAGCATCAAGAGCCTACAACATGAAAATCGAAACACCAAGAGGCAGGGGAAGACCAAGAAGAAGATGGATTGAAGGAGTCACGGACAACTTGAGACTTCATAACATCACGGCATATGAAGCGACTGAGCGCGCCCTGGCTCGGTTACCGATCATCTGATAGACTGCGACGCCTAGCGGCACAAGCAGATTTTGACAAAAGAAGAAGAAAGAAGAAATTACCCGTCCCATCCATCCCTGTTATTGGCCTTATCTTTCCAGTTGGTGACTTCAAGTGTTTGTAGGTCTGCATGTTACATTACCCCTTTATGGTCTTCTTGGTTTGCCTCATGGTCTGCTCCCATTCAACTCTTCTGTGTACACAATTTTTGTCTATCTAGCATACTCTCTATATGTCCCAACCATTGTAGTCTATTAGCCCTCATGATGCCATTATTTAGTGGTGATTTAAATAGATTATGAGTTTCTTTGTTGCTTCTCTATGTCCATTCTCCACTGTTTCTATCTTTGATTGGTTCAAAAAAAAGGTGTCCTTACACTGCGTCCTCAACAGTTTTTAATAAGAACTGCACGCTGATTATAAATCAAATGAAATAAATGAATAGGAATTGAAGTAACATGAAGTAAAGAAAACTGTCCCTCTCTTGTCTATTGTGTAGCAAAGTAAACCGTGACATAATTTCCATAGTTATTGCTTATCTTTCTGTTTGTTATAGCAAACAGATTCCGGAGTGAGGGCTGTGTAAATTATTTTAAAATTATATACAAGGCAGTAGGCCAGACAAGTTTGAAAGTTATGACTTATGATCTTATGAAACAATGTCTGTACCAAATCCACAAATTCACTGGTTTCTTCAGTAAGACCATTTTATTGCCAGAAACAACATACTGTCTGTTAAAGATGATAAGAGCGACCTCCAACCTCATTGCTTCCTGAGCCTGGGAGGGGATCAGTGTGTCGGCTGTCGTCTGACCTCTCACTCTGGCCGGGATCACTGTGTAGAGCTGATCCTAGCACAGGGGGGCAGCTGGCTCTTGTCTGGCGGCTCGCAGGCAGATGTATCTGACTGGAGGCATTGTCTGTGTCTGGCCGTGTCTCAGGGGACTGTGGTAAGACTCAGATACTGTTGTTGGGGTATGTGTGTGAAGAGCAGATGGTCAAAAGGTTAGAGTGGTAGGCTCTAATGGGGGAGACCCGGGTTTGAATCCTCTGTAAAGTGATGCAGGTTTTTTCCGTTAGAGGCAAAAATAGAGCTTCCTGTTCTGCACAGTTAATGGCGATGACTTCACTATGCAGCCTTAAATCCTAAGGTTTAAAACCCCTTGTTCTACTTCACCCTAACAAGTGGTCTTGGTGGTAGTAGTAGCAGCAGTAGTGGTAGCAACAACAGCAGTAGTAGCAGCAGCAGTTGTGGTAGAAGCAGTGGTTAGTAGTAGTAGTAGTAGTAGCGGCACTAGCAGTTAGCAGCAGCAGAAGTTATTAGTAGCAGCAGTAGTGGTAGCAACAGCAGCAGTAGTTAGTAATAGTAGCAGCAGTAGTTATTAGTAGCAGCGGCAGTAGTTTTTAGTAGCAGCGGCAGTAGTTTTTAGTAGCAGCGGCAGTAGTTTTTAGTAGCAGCGGCAGTAGCATTTAGCAGCAGTGTCAGTAGGTGTTAATAGTTGCAGCATTAGTGGTGGCAGCAGCAGTAGTTAATAATAGCAGCAATAGTTGTACATTGTTAGGTATCACAATAGAGGCTCATCATTGTGTGTATTTATTTGTGTCTCTTCTTCTGCTTTGTCCAAGCATATTGGTATTACCTTTCCTTTGGAGTAAACAAGACATGCAGAGATGAAGATCATGCTGCATGAGTAACACATGGTCTCTACAATACTGCCCAGGCTTTGTGCTGTGGAGAGGAGGAACGTAGTTATGGAGCACAATTGTCTGGAAAGATGGAAGGGTGCCAGCCAAACAGACAGCTCATCTGAGAAGATTTAGACATCCAATCCACTGCAAGAAGACTTAAATAGAAGTTCTTATTATAGTTAAAAAGCTAACACTGTTTTGACCAACTTTTTTATTTTAATTTTATGAAAACTGTTAATGTTTTCCTGTTTAGGAAAGTGATATTTCCGCTGCTTGTGTGCCATGCTGCGCAGTGTTGGCTAATCAGCATCTGTTTTTATGCCACGAGGACCTCTACAGCAAGTTTCACCGAACACTGGCCAGGCTGCGATTGGATGACGTGACAAGGATTGCCTTGGACGGCACAGACTCAACGTACTGTATTGTTGTGAGTTGCATAATTCTCCATCTGACCTCGCTCACTTCTGCAGTTGCTGTATTATTTTCTGTGGTATTGTAATTATCTTGTTGAATTCTCAGCAGTCTAAATTATTGCCTAGATTTTATTGACTTGTTTAATTGTCAGTAGTCTAAATTATTGCCTAGATTTTATTGACTTGTTTAATTCTCAGCAGTCTAAATTATTGCTTAGATTTTATTGACTTGTTTAATTCTCAGCAGTCTAAATTATTGCTTAGATTTTATTGACTTGTTTAATTCTCAGCAGTCTAAATTATTGCTTAGATGTTACTGACCTGTTTAATTCTCAGCAGTCTAAATTATTGCTTAGATGTTACTCACCTGTTTAATTCTCAGCAGTCTAAATTATTGCCTATGTGTTATGGACTTGTTTAATTGTCAGCAGTCTAAATTATTGCTTAGATTTTATTGACTTGTTTAATTCTCAGCAGTCTAAATTATTGCTTAGATTTTATTGACTTGTTTAATTCTCAGCAGTCTAAATTATTGCTTAGATGTTACTGACCTGTTTAATTCTCAGCAGTCTAAATTATTGCCTATGTGTTATGGACTTGTTTAATTGTCAGCAGTCTAAATTATTGCTTAGATTTTATTGACTTGTTTAATTCTCAGCAGTCTAAATTATTGCTTAGATTTTATTGACTTGTTTAATTCTCAGCAGTCTAAATTATTGCCTAGATGTTACTGACCTGTTTAATTCTCAGCAGTCTAAATTATTGCCTTGATGTTATGGACTTGTTTAATTGTCAGCAGTCTAAATTATTGCCTATGTGTTATGGACTTGTTTAATTGTCAGCAGTCTAAATTATTGCCTTGATGTTATGGACTTGTTTAATTGTCAGCAGTCTAAATTATTGCCTTGATGTTATGGACTTGTTTAATTCTCAGCAGTCTAAATTATTGCTTAGATTTTATTGACTTGTTTAATTCTCAGCAGTCTAAATTATTGCTTAGATTTTATTGACTTGTTTAATTCTCAGCAGTCTAAATTATTGCTTAGATGTTACTGACCTGTTTAATTCTCAGCAGTCTAAATTATTGCCTATGTGTTATGGACTTGTTTAATTGTCAGCAGTCTAAATTATTGCTGAGATTTTATTGACTTGTTTAATTCTCAGCAGTCTAAATTATTGCTTAGATTTTATTGACTTGTTTAATTCTCAGCAGTCTAAATTATTGCTTAGATTTTATTGACTTGTTTAATTCTCAGCAGTCTAAATTATTGCTGAGATTTTATTGACTTGTTTAATTCTCAGCAGTCTAAATTATTGCTTAGATTTTATTGACTTGTTTAATTCTCAGCAGTCTAAATTATTGCTTAGATTTTATTGACCTGTTTAATTCTCAGCAGTCTAAATTATTGCTTAGATTTTATTGACTTGTTTAATTCTCAGCAGTCTAAATTATTGCCTAGATGTTACTGACCTGTTTAATTCTCAGCAGTCTAAATTATTGCCTAGATTTTATTGACTTGTTTAATTCTCAGCAGTCTAAATTATTGCCTTGATGTCATTGACCTGAATTTACAGCAGCTTTAATGATTGCCTAGATATAATAATTCTTCTTCTTTAGCATTCTGAGCCCTTGAGGTTCATTGCTGCAGATATCACACGCCTGGTTGGCCTTCTCTTTCCAGTTGATGACACCAAGTGTTTGCGGGTCTGATTGGATATTATCTCACCATCGTGTTCTTGGTCTGCCTCGTGGTCTACAACCATTCATCTCCCTTTAGTATACAGTTTTTACTTCTCATCTGACATTCTTTCAATTTGCCCCAACCATTTCGGTCTTTTAGCTTTCATGATGCTAGTGATCAGTGGTGATTTAAACATGTTGTAAATTTCATTGTTGCTTCTCACTCTCCGTTCACGGCTGTTTGCATCTTTGATAGGTCCGAAGATTCGTCATAAGACTTTTTTCAAAAACCTGTAATAAGGCTTCATCTTGTTTAGTTGTGCTCCAAGTTTCAAAGCCATATAACGTGACTGGTCTTATCAACGTTTTATATATTTTGATCTTGGTGTTGCAAGACATACACTTTGACTTTAGCAGATGTTGAAGGGCATATTATGCTTTATTTCTGGATTGTATTCTAGATTGTATTTCTTTTCTCAGCATGTTGGAGCAGTTGAAGTTTGCACCCAAGTACTTATATGTTTCCGTTCGTTTGATTTACATATCGACTTGTATGTGGCCGGAGTTTATATCCTTTCCCTGTCTAGTTATTGTCATGAATTCTGTTTTATCTTGATTGATAACTAGACCCATTTTCTGAGCTGATTCTTTTAAGACAGTCAGTGTTTTAACAGTCTCTAGTTCACTTTCTCCAATTATATCATATCCAAGTATTCTTGTAGTTTCTTCTATAGTACACTCTTGTTTAAATTTCCTTATAATTTTCTCCACGGCCAAGTTGAAAAAAAGCGGGGACAGAGCATCACCTTGCTTTAAACCAGATTTTTTTTGAAAAGGGTCTGACTTTCTGCCTTTATATATTACTTTATTACAGTGTCTACCATACATAGTTTGGTCATGGTAATTAATTTCTTTAGTATTCCAAAGTCTTTGATGGCAATAGATATCTGTTTCATGATGAGATAAAGTTTTACCAAGGTGGGGGTGTCGGCCCCGCACCTCAATCCCCAACCTGGAGGACCAGGGTGTCTCTTTTTGTCTGTTCTCTACCCTTCGACCTTTCTGGCTTGGGAGGCCCTGCTGGTAACTACGCTACAGCTGGCATAGCTCTCAGGGTCGTTGAGAAACACAAGCTTCCCCACTACAGCAAGGGGGAGCTAGATATAATTGAATTGTTGAATTTACAGCAGCCTAAACGATTGCCTAGATGCAAACTTGTATCTTGTCTCATGCAGAAACTGAAGTCTCAAGAGACGGAGCTCTCCAGCCGGCAGTGGGCATTCTATTTCTACTCAAGTCAGGATATGGAAAGGCACATGTCAGCTATCAAGGCAGCATGGAAAGATATACATCAGGTAATACTTTACTGCTCAGGTGAAACAAGACTAAAATAGATACCGGCGGGTCTGTTCTCCCCCCTCGCCCCCTTTTTTTTCCATTTTGGAGACCTAGAAACATATAGTAAAGCTGTCCTATTTTAAAACTAATGAATAACATATCAGTCCTAGCAAAATTGTGAAGCTAGTACACGCAAAGTGGTGCAAAACCGGCCAGTCTATATGCCTACTTATTTCCCAACACACAGGTATGACCTGGAGAAAATATCCAAAGGATGCTAACTACACTGGACCTCTGAAGTGATGCTTGCGACTCTGCATGGAGCATGCCTGTCTCCACCTTTCTCAGCATGTTATGTGGGTCAGTTAAATGACGACATGTGTACAGCTGATTCCCAAGCCAGCGGAAGGCAGCAGTGACTGCCTCCACCTCCATTCTCAAACTAGACGTTGCGATATCACATGCCAGGCTTTGTTGCACCAAACGACATCCATTCCCCTTCACTATGAACCCCCATGCACTTCGTCTGCCCCTCAACACAGAGCCATCTTTATATACAATCACATCACTTGGGTGGGAATTGTCATGAATCATTTGTTGAATGTCTGATTCTACAGCACCAGCTGGCCAGTCCTTGCACTCACGTCCCAAAGTGATTAGAACCCTACACAAGTCAGAGACCTGATCGGACACTTTGACCCACTCCTCTCCTCGCCTAAATTGATCAAGCCTGCACACATGTCAAATTGTGTCTTCAGCTTGCGCCATCCAAGACTTTCCTCTTTTCCGTCTGTGACCCTTAGCTCTATCCAGGGCTTCATGCAGGAGGTGCCTCTTGTCCGCAGCTACTCTAAGATATCACTTTGCTTGCAGAACTTTGAGCCTATCTGCATTAGTAGGCAGTGCAAGTATATATCGCATACATACTACCGGGGTATCTCTTGTACATCCCAGAATAACCCACATAGCTTCATTCTGTATGAGTTCAAGTTTCATCAGCTGACTCTTTGATATGGTATGCATGCCAAGTCCATAATCTATCACCGACAGGATCACATGCTGGAACATTGTGAACACATTCTTTGTTCCATGTCCATTGCTGCCTAATCTTGAGAGCAGTGAGTCCTTTTTTGGCATTTCACTGCAACTGCCTCCACATGATCCCTGAAGGCTTCTATCGAAAATGATATTGAAGCTCCTCAGTTTGCTTTCTCTCCAATTCCAATTCCAATTCGTCCAACAAAAATTTCAAATTTGATCCTCTTTCAGCCGCCCGGAGGCCTGCTATATCGAAGAAGGTTCCTTAGCTGTCTTATATGGTTTCCTTTTATTTGTGGTGTGTAGTCACACCTGATATTACGGTTGTTTGCTTCCTTGCTGTGCCGTGGTCATTGTGGTTTTTGGTTCTGGTGTGGTCCAGATCTCTTTGTGATGGTATCTACGGGTATTAGCTGACTGTTGCTGGTGCTTGGCTTGCCTCGTGCTGGTCGCTGTGCTGGTGCCCTGTTGCTGCTTGGTTGCCGATCTGTAAGCCGCCGGAAAGAGCCAAACAAACATCGGATCACGTCGTCATGAACAATGTTCCCTTTCAGGACAACCAGGGCCGTCACAATCTGTTGTTGTGATCAGCCCGTTTTTTTTTTTTTTTTCACGGAGTGTGGAGAAGTAGTGAAGGTAAGATAGACTGCAAATGAGAGATCAGTTTGCTCGAATGTGCCAGGAGATGTGATAGTTAGGTCGGGAAAATGAGAGTGACAGATAGAGGTAGGATCCACCCTGGTCGGTTGAGGTCACTTGGTCTGAAATAAAAGTGAAAGGCATTTGTTAGCATACACCTGGGATGGGGTGGGGTGGCATGACGGTGACTGGAATTCCCAAGTGCTGGTCCCCTTAGGTGCAATGCCCTCGGCTATCTGCTTCGGAGCGTCGGGTGGCCTGTGGTATTTTCCGTTGTCTTCTTTTTCCTGAAAATAAACTAGGTTAAGATTTTTGCTTAGCTCTATGGTAATTGCGTGGTTATTTGCCAGTGGGGCGGAGCCGGTGGGTGTGGCTCCGGTACGGCGACTGTCTGTCCGGTTGGCGGTTGTTTGTTTTGGGCTGTCCGTAAAGATGGCGGCTTGTTTGGTGGGCTCCCTCTGTGGCTCTTAGAATTGGCGGTAGCCTCTTTTATTCGGTGTGCCATTTTTCCACTGCTTTTTCTTTGGCGCCCGGAGCTGGTTTAATGCTGTGTTCATCTCTCCGCAGAGTCGGCCAACCCTCTCGTACGTTTCCAGTCGTTCGGGTGTTTCGTGTTCCTCAGCTGCAAAGTTGAAAGCGTATTAGCCGCATTCGCTGACATACACCAGCTTGTGCGGAGCCACCTGCTCGTTGAAATCTTCCAGCATCGCTTGAAGGTCGGCGTCACAATTTACAACGGCTGCCGCTTTTTGGCTCACGCTCGGGGTGGCTGGCTGCCTGATAGGTGTTCCGTTGTTTAGTACTTTGTTTTTAGTAGGGTCTGTCATCTGTTCCTGGTGCTGCGTCATTACCGTTTCGGTAACTGTGCTTTAGTCGGCTTTGTTGATAATTGGTTGTTTTGCAGCTTTGCTGGAGGTCTCTCTTTCTTTCTCTAGCAGGGCACGCTCCGTTCTTGCCGCCAGCACTGCAGCTTCGGCTTCTGCCTTTGCTTGGATCATAAGGGTGACTTCTTAATAGTGCTTTCTCGGGCTTCCTTGAGTGCTTCGGTTTCCTTTCTTCTCTCCTCCCTTTCTTCTTGTCGGCGGGTCTCGTCTGCTACTTTTTCTGCTTGGAGTTTTAAGGTCATTTCTGTCAGGTTTTTCTGCATTTGTGCAGCCTCTGCTGGCCACTTTGTTTGCTGCGAGACTTGTTCTTGTCTGTCTTCTTTCAAGGTTTTTATTTCATCACGCATCTGTGAGATCAGGTCTAGCAACTGGGTTCTGTCAGCGGTGGTGTCGGCAGCGTCAGACTTTTCTTTGTGGAGAGCTTTAATTTCGGCTAAAATTTCAAAAATTTCAGATATTTTAAACGAGGTTTCCGGGTCCTTTGTGGCTGTGATCGCCTTATCGGTTCGTCTCTCTGATGTGCTTTGTGCTGACTTCCCACTTGGTTGCTTTGGTGCTACTGGAGGCCTGGGTGCCCCGTATCTCTTTCTAGCTGTTTCGTAGGCAGTTCTTAGTGTCTTCTTGCACTGCTGGAGATACGGGCAGCCCATGTATTTCGCGCCGTGTGCACCGGAACAGTTGGAGCACTTGCGGTTGCTGTTCGGTTTTTTGAAGTTAATGTCAATTTTAGCCAGCGGGCACTCCTTGAATTCGTGCGCACCAGAACAGTATCTGCACGATAGGCTGCTGCGGCAGGACGAGGCTGTATGCGACACCCTATTGCAGCGCGAGCACTGCATGATGTCTGGTGTGCTGGCCTCAGGCTGCGGCTGCTTTCGTAGGCGAGGGGGTCCTTGCGTCGCTACCGAGGCGGCATCAGGCGCCCCGAAAGGTCGGCTCCCAGGGGAGCGGCCCTCTGTGCTGGTGATCCTGGTGTTTCAGTCGTTATAGGCGTAGTTTCCATTTTCTACGGTAATTGTGATAGTTCTTGAATTTATTTGGAGGTTAAACGCACGCCCTAGGTTTCGGTTTAAAAAGTTTATAATGTAAATAATAATTACCTAGGGCGTTGTTCCTTCCTCTGGTGATTCTTGGCAACACTGGTCACTTGTGTAGATCTTTGTTGCTGGTAGTTGTCGTTTGGCTAGATGCATACACGGGCTGCTAATGACCCAAAGCAAGCCGACTCCAATAGCTTAGTCGAGACAGACTCAGCCAAATATCAAGCGATCTGTCCAGTAGCTAGCTATCGAAAATCAAGCAACGAATGGATAGTTAGCGGGCGACGTAACGTGGCGAGGCGGGCTTGGGCATTCAACGTCTTGCTCGGGCGAAGGCAGTCAGCGAACTGTTGCTTTCTCTTTTGATGTTACTGTTTTTTACTGTGAGGTTTGGAATGTTAACTTTTACAATTCTATTGTCCAGAGAGCACCACAAAACAGCTGCCTTTTCTGAGTTGATAGCAGCACCAATTTCTGCACACTGTCAATCACTTTTTCTACAGTTGCCTGTAGCTCATGGGCTATCCCTCGCTGATCTCTCCCCTGCCTATATGCAAGAACATCATCGGCAAATGTCAATATTCTTCCAAAACCTGGTGATTCAAGCTCTGCAGTCTTGCTTGTATACACATAAAGAGCACTAACTGCAACATTCTGTAAAGGACACACAGTTTTAATATTTAAAAAAAAATATAGGGGCATCTAGTGCTAAACCTATATTTTTACTATGTAATGGGCACTACCTGGGCGGTGAGGTCAGCATCAAGCCAGTTGCCTTTTCTTTCCAGGAAATTACCTGATGCCTATTTTAGGCTGGGTCATCCTGGGGGCCAAGGTCAGTTTTAAACAAATTGCCTCTGTGGGGATTTAAACCCTAGACCTTTGTGCCAGCAGGAGAAACTCTATACACTATGCTACTGCGGCTCAGTAAATATGCGAATGAAAAGGGACCAAACATATACTTTGGTGAAGGCTCTTTTGGCTTTATCACACTGGCACAGGCGTCAGATTTTAAAGAGATTGAGGCCTCACCACATAATATCCTTAAAGATAGCAGTGAAATAGCACACAATTTATTATTATTATTTTTCAGCATTCTAAGCCCTTAAGGTTCGTTGTTGCAGATATCACCCACCTTATTACCCGCCTTCGTTCTTTCCCTTTCTGATTGGCCTTTTCTATCCAGCTGTTGATGCCAGCCGTTTGATGATTGGCCTTCTCTATCCAGTTGATGCCAGCTGTTTGATGATTGGCCTTCTCTTTCCAGTTGTTGATGCTAGCTGTTTGTAGATCTGCTAGAGTATCATCTATCTGCCATCACATTGGTCTTCCTGATGGTCTACTCCTATCCAGCTCTTTTGTGTATGCAGTTGTTGTCTTCCTGTTATCTGCAGTTCTCTCCATATGCCCCATCCATTCCATCCATTACTTGCACGGTGCAAGTAATTAGTAATAATTTAAACATTATTTTATTAGTATACTTTTAAAATAATATCATTCCTCAAATATCTTCCCTCCACAGACCGAGCTTCCAGTGCTTCCAATTGATGATGTAGCTGTGGAATGTTCCTGTAACTCCTGCTCTAGTCATTTAAAGCGACAGCTAACCCTGACTTGAAATGTCCACGAGCTGTCAGCAACAACCACCCAACCTCATATTTCAGCCATCTCCGACACACCAACTCTAATTGTCAGCAAGAAGGTCTTCATTCAGTTATCACCCGCACAGCTTGACTCCCCAAGCACAGCTGTAGTGTTTGGTTGCCTGCCTCTCTTACTCGTTCACACCACTTGCTGATCAAGATGGTAGTCGAATGGTGTGTTCCTTATTGCTGCCTAATATTGCTAGGACACAGAGGACAGTCACTGAGGTCATTCAGAACTTACCTTTTCTTTTATTTAACTTATGGTGCTCTGCTTTAACATAATGTGCAATTAATTTAAATCTAGTCTGTAGATTTTTTTTAACTGTGTATATTTTAAGTATGGTTAGAAAGGTTATCAGCACAATAGAAATAATTGTTACGATGTGCATTTTTAGTGTGACCAAAAAGTTAACAGCACACAAGAGATCATTATTAATCATTTGCATTTTCAGTGTGATCCTAGACGTTAGCACAATAATTGTTAATCATGAGCATTTTTGGTGTGTAGCAAGAAGTTAATAGCACAGTAGAGATCATGATTAATGATAGGTATTTTTAGTGTGAATAAAGAAGTTAATAGCACAGTAGAGATAATTGTTAATGATGTGCAATTTTAATTTCAATCAAGACATTAATAGCAAAACATAGATAATTGTTAATGGGGTGCATTTTTAATGTAAATCAAGACATTAAAAGCACAGCAGAAATAGTGGTTAATTATGTGCAATTTTAGTGTGAACCACAAGTTAACAGCACACTAGAGATAAATGTTAATGATGTGCATTTTTAATGTGAATCAAGACGTTAATAGCACCGTAGAGATAATTGTTAATTATGTGCAATTTTAGTGTGAACCACAAAGTTAACAGCACACTAGAGATAAATGTTAATGATGTGCATTTTTAATGTGAATCAAGACGTTAATAGCACAGCAGAAATAGTGGTTAATGACGTGCATTTTAGTGTGGACCACAAGTTAACAGCACACTAGAGATAAATGTTAATGGGGTGCATTTTTAATGTGAATCAAGACGTTAATAGCACAGCAGAAATAGTGGTTAATGATGTGCATTTTAGTGTGGACCACAAGTTAACAGCACACTAGAGATAAATGTTAATGATGTGCATTTTTAATGTGAATCAAGACGGTAATAGCACAGCAGAAATAGTGGTTAATGATGTGCATTTTAGTGTGGACCACAAGTTAACAGCACACTAGAGATAAATGTTAATGATGTGCATTTTTAATGTGAATCAAGATGTTAATAGCACCGTAGAGATAATTGTTAATTATGTGCAATTTAAGTGCGGACCACAAAGTTAACAGCACGCTAGAGATAAATGTTAACCGTGTGTATTTTTACTAGTGTGAAAAAGTTAACACTAGTAGAGATGGTTGTTAACCGCACAAATTTTAGTGTGAACACACACGTTACCTGCCCTATGAAGGTAATTGTTAATGGCTTGCATTTTAGTGTGAACACACACGTTACCTGCCCTATGGAGGTAATTGTTAATGCCTACATTTTAGTGTGAACACACAAGTTACCTGCCCCATGAAGGTAATTGTTAATGCCTACATTTTAGTGTGAACACACAAGTTACCTGCCCTATGAAGGTAATTGTTAATGCCTTTCATTTTAGTGTGATCTAAAAAGTAAACCATCCCTTGAAGATAATGATTTGCGTTTTTGCTAGAATCAACATAGCTAACACTTGTGGAGTTTATTGTTTATGTTTTAGTATGAACCAAAGAGCGAACAGCACAAGAGATATACATGCATAAGTTATCCACACAAATATCCGTATCATTTATTTTACAGATAAATTAACCACTTCTCCACATGGGTATATCCATAAGTTATCAACACAGATACATCCACTAGTTCACAGGTCTCTATATAATTTTATGCAGACACATCCACCAGTTATCCACACAGAAACATTTATCCATTTTTTCCCCACACGGTTACATCCACCTGTTTACAGGTTACTTTATAAATTTATGCAGATACATCCACTTGTTTTCCATATGGATCATCCATAGTTCTCCACATGGAAACATCCACCAATTATCCACACGGAAATATCCATAAGCTCTCCACACAGATGTTAACATGTCAAATGTGATTGGCTGATCTGAATGTGCACCGAACAATGGGTCATGTATGCTTGTGATTCTAATGTTTAGTCAGGCTGTCTACAGAAATCTGGCCACATGTGGGTGACTATATGTGTGGTCCCCATGAAAGTCAATGTCGTTATTATTGCCATTGCTCTCTTTGGACACCTGCTGTGATATTGAAGTGCTTGTCTTATGTCGCCATCCACATTATGTGTTTTGTCGCTGACCTTTATAATGGCTCACTATGTTTTGTTTGTGTGTATGGTGCTATAATTCTCATTTTGCTTTATCCATGACACTATCATCATGTTCAGTTTGCTTTATTGCCCATGGAAAGTTGTCCGGTTTTAAAGGAGAGCGATCCTGTTCCGCGATATTAAAGTGTATTAAGAGTAGTGGTAGACGGGGGTGTTAAATTCACTCGTAGAGAGAAATACTGCATAGATGAGGGCGGTCTGTACTCTTTGTGCACATTGTAATAAAGGTTAAAAAAAGGGAACACTATAGCATGTCTTGATAATGGGAGAGTTGGAGGAAAAAGAGGGTAAGGGAGACAGAAAGAGAAGATGTTAGGCAGTTTGGCTTAGAAGATTATCATTATTAGAAATGAACTGCAATTCATCTTCAGTTTATGTAACAGTTACAAGAAATCAGTAGTTGCACATGTATTTAACCGCGTAAAGAACCACCAATTATGTGGCAACATGCCACTCACCATTTTCTAAATATGCAGTTCACAACACAAACCACTTCAGGAATTCCACATAAAACATAGTCTCACCCTATACCCTTGTCTCAGCTGGAGAACAAAACTTGATACTTTCAGTCCACATATAGGGGAAAATGCAATGGCTAACCTTAGCCAGAAGTAAATAACTTGCCACTAATAAAATAGTAAGCCTGTCTATCCACAATATTGGACAGGAAGTCATATAGTGATACATGTAAAGTGTTCCTTTATTGTGTTGCGTTGGATAACATTTTGAATGTTGAATTAATGATCGACATCATAGCACTCAGGACACTCCCATAAGCGCTCCATCTTCAGCAGTGAGTTCAGTTCTGTTGGCGTCAGTATCTGTCTGATTGTACATCAGTCTCGGCTTTCCCTTGAGTACTGTGCCTCTGCACTGTTCATTCGCTCCTAAAGGGCCCTCACATCTAGCTTGTTATACATCAATTCACCACCAATTGGTGCAGAACCTCCAATCTTGGTTATCTGCCTGCTCATTTCCCAACACACCAGCAATATCCACAGGACGCTAACTGCCCGGGATAAACAAATCAAATGTTGCTATTATTGGGCCTTGGAAGCCATGGTAGTTTAGTGTTTAAATAAGTGTTCTTCAACTTTTGTACACCCAGGGCACACTAAAACAAAGGAAACTGTTTCATGGACCACCTAACAGCTAACCAAAAACAGAAACAACTATAGACAGCAGTTTATTTGTAAAATTCAGTGTCACACAATTACAGTCTCCAGCTAAAGGGATATTTCCTGCTGCCTAGAGGTTAGGAAATCTTGTATATGTGTTGCGTAAAAGTCTCACTTGCCATGCAGCAGTGTGATGCTGTAATTATATTCCTGCTATATTTTTAAGTAGAAAAATGTGGGTGCCTACCTCTGGTCCAAGCATTGTGGTGATTAAATTCAGCTGTAGAAGAGACATAATAAGGGAAATTATGTTGGATGATCGAAAAAAGGGCATGTGTGAATGTCATCAATAGAATTGATCTAGAACACCATGGGCTGATATAGGGAGAAAAAACCCACGTTATCATGATGATAAAGACGTTAGACTGAGTGCTGATAAGCCACTGGGATTGTATTTAAAACGTGTGTACTGCCTGATAAACTACATGATTATGCTGATGAAGACAGCATTAAAGTCCTTAAATAGATGTTGTGCCATTTGCCAAGCCAAATTCTGATGATGAACATAATGATGAAGACAGCAAATCAGAGTCCTGATAAGCCTCTGGAATTGTATTTAACATAAATAAGCCACATGATGGTGATGTAGACAGCAAATGAAATCCTAATGAGCTAACAGATTGTATTTTAAAATGTGTGCTGTTTTTTTATTATTAACTGCAGTGGTACTTAATCTGTTTAGATCCTTGGATGTATATCAAACAGGATATGGATGTATACCAAAGCCGACATATACCGAGGTACTACTGTACTTGTGAAAATCATCCTGCCAACAGACAACTCACTGCGCAAGGCCAAGTAATCACCAACCACATTCTCCCATTCTAATGAAAGTAGATCTCTATATACAACAATAAGAAAAAGACACAGTTCTTTGGCCACATAATGAGAAGAGAGACATTGGAGAACATGGTGACAAATGGAAAGATCAGAGGAAAAAAGGGGTAAAGGCAGACCAAGAGATATGATGCTGGATGGGCTGAAACGATGGCATGGAGGGATATCATCAAGAGAGCTGTTTCAGGCAACCGAGGATTGTGATCTGTGGAAACACATAATCGCCTATGCCAGTTGGCAGGGCACATGATGATGATGATGAACTCTTCATTGATATTTCCCAGGGTGAATATATTCACTCCAGATAGACCAACAAACACTCGGTGTCACTAACTGGAAAGAGAAGGCCAGCCAACCAGAGAGATGAATGGAGGGGGCGGGGGAGATATCAAAAGCAATAAATCTCAAGGGTCTGAATGCTGTAAAAGTAGAAGAAATATATTCACTGTATTTCAGAACACACTGCCATGTCTTTCAGTTGAATGCCTATTTTTCCTTGATGCTTGCATACATGTTTTTAGATACACTTTGTGTCAACCATTGTTTTTTTGTCTGTGTGTTCCCAAACTTGGTTC